GCAGGCAGCGCGCCAGGTCTCATCTATCGAGCGCAGGTGGGCAGCGAGGTCAGAGACAGTGGGGAAAGATGCAAGGTCAGGAAAGAGCATCGGGAGGATCAGGCGACCCACCGAGGCAGCCGGAGGGGTGGAATAGCGCTTGATGACAGCATCAAAGTATGCCTGAGCAGTAGTGAGGGACCTAAAGCGAGGGCGCTCGGACGGGGGAAGGGCGTTGCTAATAGCAAGCTGGGCGACAGCATCGCGAGAAATCCAGACAGAGCGCGCACGGGCAGTGGTAGCAGTAGACTCGCGCTCAGTGGGTGTGGAGTCAGCGGGCAGAATAGCAGGGGGGTCTGGGCAGGGGAGCGTACCGTCAAGGTGTGCGGAAAGCGGCTCACCATCCTGCCGCTGGCCAGTGAGTTGGCGCCGGAGGTCGGCAAGCCACGCCTCGAACTCCAGAGGCTGGCCTTCAGCGTCGAAGCGAAGCTCCGTCGCCATCAGGGGCAGTGCAGGATGGAACAGTACGGTACAGTGAAGTGCAGAGGAAAGCAGAGCAGTGCAGGGCGGTGCAGTGCGGGGCAGGGCAGTGCAGTGCGGTGCGGGGCGGTGCAGGGCGGTGCAGGGCGGTGCAGTGCGGTGCAGGGCAGTGCAGTGCGGAGCAGGGCGGTGCAGGGAGGGGGGGGGGGGGGGGGAACCGGGCCGGTGCAACAGGGCCGGGCGGGTGCGACGGGGCCGGGCGAGTGCGACGGGGCCGGGCGGGCGCGACGGGGCCGGGCGGGTGCGACGGGGCCGGGCGGCCGCGACGGGGCCGGGCGGGTGCGTCGGGGCCGTGCTGGTGCGACGGGGCCGGGCCGGTGCGACGGGGCCGGGCGGGTGCGACGGGGCCGGGCAGGTGCGACGGGGCCGGGCAGGGGGCAGCGGGGCCGGGCAGGGCGCGACGGGGCCTGAAGGCTTGACGGGGCCCAGGAGGGGCGCTACGAGGCCCAGGAGGGGCGTTACGGGGCCCAGGAGGGGCACTACGGGGCGCGGGAGGGGCCCAGGAGGGGCGCGACGGGGCCCAGGAGGGGCGCTACGGGGCCCAGGAGGGGCACTACGGGGCCCAGGAGGGGCCCAGGAGGGGCGCGACGGGGTCCAGGAGGGGCACTACGGGGCCCAGGAGGGGCCCAGGAGGGGCGCGACGGGGCCCAGGAGGGGCACGACGGGGCCCAGGAGGGGCGCTACGTGGCCCAGTAGGGGCAGTACGGGGCGAGGGGCGCAGCAAGGCCCGGGAGGGTCGCAACGGGGCTAGGAGGTCGCGACGAGGCTAGGGGGTCGCGACGGGGCCCAGGGGGTCGCGACTGGGACTAGGGGGTCGCGACGGGACTAGGGGGTCGCAACGGGGCCCAGGAGGGGCGCGGCAGGGCTAGGGGCACGACGGGGCCCAATGGGTCGCGACGGGGATAGGGGGGAGGCACGGCGGGGCCTAGCTAGGGGACGAGCGGAAGCGGTAGGTGGGGGGGGATCCTAACCTACGCGTGATACCATATCAAACTGAGAGTAGTGAATGATTGGGTAGAGGGAGAGTACAGATAGGTATACCTAAGTATTGTACCCTCTAAGAGGTGACCCTATACAGTCTATGCAAACATAACAAATACACATGTTTGACACCCCCCACCCCCCACTCCCCACCTCTCCTCTCGTTCAGTCACCATCGCTCTGGGGACGCTTTGAGGCACATCGAGCACTGCTATGGGGGCGTGGGGCGTGGGCGCGGAGGCAGCAGCAGCTCGACTCCTGGTCCCGGTCTTGCCAGTCTCGCCAGTCTCGCCGTTAACTGTCGGAGTCACAGAGCTAAGTGCCACTCCACCATCCGACCCAGGACCCCTCTGACTTTGACCGTCGTTCCGCTTGTCATTCTGCACCCTTCCGTTCTCGTTGAGCTCATGTGCGTTTCTCGTCGCTCTAGCTGCCTGTGGCACACCCAAGGGCTCCCCCCCTTTTTTTTAAGGTAAGGGTATCAGGCTCCCCCACGTGCAAAACTATTTACCTCCAGGTATGGTGAGATTCAGGTCCCCTCACCCCCCCCCTCCCCCCTCCCCTTAGGTGTGCTGAAGCAGCCTAGATCGTGCATGCCTGCATGTTTTCCTTGCAGCTTCGTCTTCACTCCCTTGCGTCCATTTCTCCCACTCACTCCCTCCCCTTCCTCCCCCCACCCCCCCTCCCCCCCCGCCGCCAGGGGGAGCAGAGGTATGCTGGAGAGGAGTGCGTGCACCTGCTGCAGTGATGGGGGAGAGGAGTGCACCTTCCCGCTGCAGCCAAGTGCTTCACTCAGCTCGCTCGCACAAAGCTAAGTACCCAACCTTCCTCGCCACCTCTTGCCCCATTCTTTCAGCTCTTTTTTTTTTCGCTAAGTTACTCTTTTGATTTCAGCTCTTCACTGCCCCTCACTTGCTGCACTTAGCCACTTAGCCTTCAACCCTTCAAACCTCAGATACTAATCGTGTTTGTACCCCACCCCACCCCCCCCCCTTCCCCAGCAGGTGAATCCGCTGTGGTGGTGGTTGGTGGGGTTGAGGGGGTAACCCCACTGCTGGTGGTGGTGGCAGTGGCGGTGGTGGTGGCGGTGGCAGTGGTGGTGGCGGTGGTGGTGGTGGTGGTGGCGGTGCTGGTGGCGGTGCTGGTGCTGGTGGCGGTGGTGGTGGTGCTGGTGGCGGTGGTGGGAGTTGGACAGTGGGGTTGGGGGTGAACTATGAGCCTGGGCCCAATACCCACACGTTTAAGGCATAATGGACGAGCACCAGACCCTGCGGCCGGGGTGCTCTGGTGTGAGTGTCCCCTCTTGCCACGTCGGTGAGGGGCTCAGGTCTCATGGTTGGCTCTCAGCCCCATTGCTGGCGGAGTGTGGTGGAGAGTGGTGGTGCGTGGTGCTGGGTGTGGTGATGGTGGTGGTGGTGCAGTGGAGGGGTGGTGAACCCCCTTGAGTATGGGGAGATTGAGGCAGGGGGGGAAGGTTGAACCCCCTTTGGTAAGGTTGTGAGGGGCAGGGGGGAGGGAGGGGGGTTGGAACCCCCAGGTTAAAGCGAACTAGGGGCAGAGGGACCCCCCTCCTCTGCCTCTTGCTTGCGCCAACCTGGGAGTTTCAACCCCTTTCTCTTGCCTCTCACTCACCTTACCCTGGGGGGTTGAACCTTCTTCCCCTGCCTTGCTCTCCTCTTGCTCCAGGGGCTGCACCACTAGCACCACCACCACCACCAGTACTGATTTGAGTGTTGGTGGGTGTGGCTGTGGTGGTGGTTTCAGGCCACCCACCCCGCACCCCCCCCCCCCCTGGCGGGGAGTGGTGGTGGTGGTGCGTGGTGGTGGTGGGGTGTGGTGGTGGTGGGGAGTGGTGGTGGTGGTGGTGGTTTCAGCCCACCCCATACTCCAGAACCCCCCCCCTCCCCCACCCCCCTTGTGGGGAGTGGTGCTGATGGTGAGTGGTGGAGTGTGTGGTGGTGGTGAGTGGGGGTGGGGGTGGTGAATGGAGTGTGTGGCAGTGGTGTGTGTTGGTGGTGGTGAGTGGTGGAGTGTGTGCCGGTGGTGTGCGGTGGTGGTGGTGTGGTGGTGGTTTCAGCCCCCCCAACCCCGACCCCTTTCTCGTTCCTCCTTGATGGTGGTGGGGAGTGGTGAGGAGTGGTGGCGGTGGTGGATGGAAGAGGTGATGGCAGATGGTGCAATTGGAGGCTGGCAGATGGATACCTCCAGGATATATCCAATCCTGAATTCAGTCCAGTGTAGTTACAATGAACTAGTGTAGTTTTGTAGTAGTATGTGCTTGAAATCCCGTATGTCATGTCATATGTGTTCTCTGTGCTTTGTTGACAAGAATCTAAGTGATAAGAGCAGAACAGTGTTCAGACAGTGTTGAAACTGTTGAGTGACCTGCTGGAATTACCCTTGAGAAGTTCCTCGGGGAAGGGCCACAGGTGCAGAGCCTGGGGGGCTATGGGCGCACTGACCCGCTATTAACAAGCCCCGTTAACCCAGTGGTTAGTGACTGGGTTTCTGACATGCTATCAGAGCGTTGGTGACTCGGGTTCGATTCCCAATGCTAGGTTGCAGAGGCGCTCGTGACTTCCACCTATCCCAGCGAGGGGGGGTGTCGAGGGGGGGTGTCGAGTGACCCGGTGAGGGTTACCCTTGAAAAGATCCTCGGGGAAGGGCCACAGGTGCAGAGCCTGGGGGGGGGCTATGGGCGCACTGACCCGCTATTAACAAGCCCTTTTAACTCAGTGGTTAATCGCTGAGTTCTGACAGAAACTACTGTCCTTGACCTTGTCCTTGATTCGGACAGTGTTCAGTCGTGTGTGGCCTTGAGTGCGCAACTGGTTTCACCACCACCTGAAAGCAGTGGTTTGTAGCTTGGACCTAAAGGGATCCACCAATTGGTTTTTGAGTCATCTAGTTCTTGAGAGTGATGAGATGACATGAGCTGCTCTAATGTCAATCTACGTAACAATCAAGGAATTCCAATCTCTACACTATCAAAAGTATGGGGATAAGCAGTAGTGATCTGATTCTGCATCTCATATCTTGTGGGACTGCTGCACGTGAGGTGGCAGAAGTATCTCGAATCGCGGAGTACCCACGAGTCGAGTCGCAATGCCCTTCACACCACACTCAGCCATGCGACCAAGTGTTGCTCAGATTTGAGCAGCTTCACGAGAACTACACGAACTGTAACGACGCATTAGTGAGCTGGCTAGAGTCTGGATAACCCGATTCGTTATTTTCGTTGCCGGTGGTATCCCTCTTCGTTTAGCAAGATATCTGATCTTCCCTCCCGCCACAGCCTTTCCTCGAGCACACCACCACAATTTTTACCCATACATTCGAGCTGGACGAGAATTCCACATTTTATGAACAGCGCGAGTCGCCAAAGGAAGCCACAACTGGAGATAAGCACCCGACCAGGTACGTCCACACGGTCCCACCAGCGCGGCTCGAGCAGATGAGTTATCCACTTATAAATCCACCTTGTATCTGCACGCTCTCTCATCAGTCGCCACTCGCTCCGCTCCAAGCATCTGCAGCACGCCTCTCCATTGTCTCGATCGAACCAACTCCCACAACCTCGGCCTGAGGTTGAGAGGCTCTCACTGGACTCGGCTTTCAGAAAAGCTCTCACCACAGCCGTACATTTCAGCCCGCAACTCTCACCTCCTGTCAGGACAGGACAGTGTCCTCGACAAGCCTTTCCACTCCACACCGTATCAAACAACTTGTTGAGAAAGCATGGCTGCGAGGCTCGTGCTGCTTCTGCTCGCCGTCTTGGCGTGCGCCACTCGCGCGGCGACCGGCGCCAAGGTGTCGCAGATGTACGTGTTCGGCGACGAGTCGGCCGACGTGGGCAACGCCAACTATTTCAAGCAGGCGTCGCTGAAGGCCAACAAGGCGCCGTACGGCGTCAGCTACAAGCCCGCGTCGGGCCGCTTCTCCGACGGGAAGCTCGTCGTCGACTACCTCGGTGAGTGCGACGACGCACCCTAAATTTCTGGAATGCGATTTGCACCCAGAGCTTCTTTTGGTAGTAACCCACAGCGAGCTTGTCTGAAAGCTGAGTCCAGTGAGAGCCTCTCAACCTCAGGCTGAGGTTGTGGGAGTTGGGGAGGCTGCTCGTCTTGCTTGCCGGTTTTCAGTGATTCGGTTTTCACCGCCATCATTTTGCCGTTTCATCTTGCCCCGAGGTTACTAACGCCTTTTTTTGTTCTGCCTTCTTCTGCCACTAACAGCCGAATTCCTCGCGATTCCGCCGCCGCGCGCCGATCTCGCGCCGCGCAATGCGTCGCTTCCCTTCTCGGGCCTCAATTACGCCATTGCCGGCGCTGGCGCCAAAGCCGGCACCAACGGCGGAAAGGTGACTCACCTCAGAGGCTCGCAGCACTTTCTCGCATGTCGCTCGTCGTCCCATCGTCCAGCCGATTCCGCCTTGAAATTCCACATTATCTCTCAGTCATTGCCGTATTTCTGCATAGATTAAGATGCCGCTCAATTGGCTCCTCTCCGCCAGCCCTGCTTCGACAATTTCCGCGGGCTGCGGGCTGCAGTCAGACTCTGAGTCTGACTCACCATTCGTGTGTGCTTCCCCGTTCTCGTGATCGCAGACGCGCGGGCTGCAGCTGCAGTTCAACGAGTTCAGGAAGTGGCTCCACGAGGCGCAGAGGACCAACAACCCCGACCTCGTAAGCCCGTCGCATCCCTGTTAATGTCGCTCCTCCAAGACATCTTTTTCGTTTCTTCTCCTCAGAACGCTCCCGTTGTGTCTCATTACCTTTGCTGTTCTGTATTACTTCTCCTTCCTTCGTGTTTTGCAGAAGCTCAGCGAGGCTCTGTTCGTGATCAGCATCGGCGCCAACGACTACATCCCTGAGCTCAGCCGCGCCCAGCCCAACATGACCACTCTCGTCGCCATCGCCTCCTCCGTCTCCAACCTCGTTATAAGCATCACTCAGTCCCTCTATAACCTCACCGGCTCCTCCAACATCGTTGTGATCGACCTGCCGAATCTCGGCTGCCTTCCCTCTGTGCGCCGCGCGCACAAAAGTGGAGCCAATTGCACGAGTGATGGTAACCAGGTTACCGTCATCCACAATTTTGCCCTGCTGACGAAGACGGACAAGCTGAGGAACAACCCCGCCCTCCCCATGCCCAACCTGGTGCTCTTCAAACAGTCTGCCGTCTACAAGACCATGATCCAAGTCCCCACCTCTGGTAAAATCCCGCTTCCCCCTCATCGTTCCCCGCCACTTTCCTCCCTCTCGCTTGCGCTCACCCTCTTGCAACTGCTCTCGCCTTCCTTCCCTCTTCCTTCATATCGCCCTTCCCCGCGCACCCATAAGTTGACCACTTTCGGCACAGATATGTCTTACAGTCATCATTCACTCGTACACTGGTCACTCTCTCTCCCATGCCCCCATGCTACCCCACATCTCAAACAGGCCTGACGAACCAGTCCTATCCGTGCTGCGAGGCCGTCACTAGCACGGGCGTCTTTGTGGCATGCGGGCAGACAGCAGGCACGGGCAAGGCAGCAGTGACCGCAGGGGCGTGCGCTGCCCCAGCCAAGTACCTCTGGTGGGACACGCACAACCCCACACAGGTGGTCAACCAGAAGCTGGCCAACACCCTCTTCTACAGTACTAACCCCGCCATGGTCCGACCAAACGGGCTAAAAAAGTTCTATGGGCTGTAGGCTAGGCCACGTTCAACCCCACACAGGCGGTCAACCAGATGGTGGCCAACACGCTCTTCTACAGCACCAATCCGGCTATGGTCCGGCCCAATGGGCTCAAAATGTTCCTCGGGCTGTAGCCTGCGGTTGGGCGAGAGGGGGGAGGAGAGAAGTTGTCCTAGTACAACAGAGTGGGCCGCCGATGGGGTCGTTTTGTTTTGGTACGGTAGGTTGATTCTTTTGTATGCTTTTTTTTGGGCGGGATGGGTATAGATGGAAGGGTCTTGAGCTGTGCTCCTCTCCACCTGGGTGGCTTGGGCCTGTGGCCCTTTTTGTCGCCTAGCGTGAAATAAAGACCAGCGCGTTGCTTTGGCGAGAGCACAGGCCATCCTGTACCTGCTTTTCTTATTCATGTACCCAGTGGGATGTCCTCGAGTTTATTATCGGTTGCAATCAGTTGGTCCTCAAGTCATTATCACGTAACTGGGAACTCTTGCACGGGACACTCTAGTGGGTGGATGCTCCAAATCATTTGAACTTGCGTCGCATTATTGCAGTCAGCAGTCAAGAGGGTATGCGCATCAATCAACACCGCAGCAGTTGAATGACACCATTGATTCAGGGTTGCACGTTGCAAGTAGAGAGCCCTGCCCAGCTCATGTACCATCACTCGGTGGATCATGACACGTATCGCTACGATTTTATCACAACAGATCAAATGGTAATGTCATGCTTCGGTAGCTCCGCCCAGTCATGCATGCACGATCTCCACTGGTTATCGCATAGTGCATGCCAAGCAATTCGGGTTTGGCACATGAATCAGAATATTTAGGTGCTATAAAACTTTCTGTTGCACATGAAAACCCTGAAGAAATACAATATATCCCGTGCACTCTATCCTCATCAGTCAGAGGACCGAAGCGGCTGAGCAAGGCCGTCAGCACCGGGGGTGGGAGCATTGTGCAGGAAGATGTACCAGTTGAGGCAGGTGGCGATGGACACCCTGTTGGGGACAGATGGTTGGGTGGGTTGCGAGGGGTGAGTGAGGGCTTGAAAAGGCAATATGGGATGTGCGTTGTGCAGGAAGATGTACCAGTTGAGGCAGGTGGTAATGGAACCCCTGTTGGGGACAAGTGGTAGCGTGCGTTGGGGGTTGAAGTATATCGAACATGGAATGAGCACTGTGCTGTGCAGCAAGATGTGCCAGTTGAGGCAGGTGGCCGTGGAATCCCTGACTGGCATGCGTTGTCACGAGTGGGGTAAACGCAAAATGCAGCTCAGAAACGGAGCAGGCACATGCTTTGCAATGTGAAGAGACGATGAAGCCAGCATAGAAGGACAAGAACGATCAATCCATGTGGGGCAAGTGGTCAGTACCAGACGATGTAGGGCCAGAGAAGAATAGAGGCGACTTTGCTGACGGGCCAGAAGACCACGATGGTGCAGAAGAGCGTCAGCCACAGCAGCACAATTTCTGCTAGCGCCCAGTCCTGTAGAGGCCATCCAACAAAAAGAGGAGACGTTTTGGTGAGTGGAAAAGGAGATTATGTTGGACAAACAGTTTGTGAGCATGGTAAAAAAAAAACATAATTTTCCACAGGCAGTAGATTGTTGCCATAAAAAAGTTTCCAGATTCAAATCCTTCCATTGGCTCTCACAATCTTGTGCATGCCGAAGAAGAGGGGAGTCCACAGGAAATTGAGGACCAGCTGGCGTGAAGGGAAGGGGAGGGCGCACGGCAGAGGGAGGGAGGAAGCAAAAAGAAGTGAATATGGCAGATGGGTAGAAATCCCAGTGCAAGGGTGTAAGGTGTATCTGTTGGCGGTTGGATTGGAGGGTTGCGGAAGGGTAAGGGAGGAGTGTGACTGTAAGAGATAGGGAGTGGCAAAGGGAATCAGCTAAGCTTACCTGAAAGACATAGATGCCCAGGGGAAGAGCTTGAAGGGAGAATCCTGCAAGAAGGAAATACAACACATGTCAGAAGGCACCAGACGCATAAAGAATGAAGAGAACCATACATCAGAATGATGGAAAGGCAATTCAGGACATAAGGGATAGCATGTAACGCTAAAAAAATTTTAGGCGCCTAAAAAATCACAAGGGATAGCATGTAACGCGAAAAAACAATCGGACATTAGGGATAGAGGAATTATTGGTGCCTCCTTGCAGCCACTCTAGCCATGCAGCGACGCCCATCATGATGTAGAGAGGAGAACGAGAGACACAATGCGAGATAGAGTGGGATGGGAGGAACGAATGTGCTGAACCAAGTGCCAGTGGTGTGGTACCTCCTTGCAGCCACACTAGCCACGCGGCGACGCCCATCATGATGTACAGATTGATCCAGATCACGGGGAACGCCCACCCCTGCACATGCACGGCGATGATTGGAAGGCGCATTTCCAGGCGATTCATTAGACGCCTCAGACACGATCTACCGATTGATTCAGATCACGGGGAGGGCCCGTCCCTGCACACAGTGAGGGACACCCACAGAAAGGTTCGGAAGAGAGATGCTCGCAGCAAGATGATGAACGCCCCGAAACCGGGGAGTATGGAAAGGCTCCTGGTCCCCCAGTTACCTTGTCAAATCAAGTTCCTCTGACTCGTTTGTTGCTTGCCTAATCCCCTGACATTTTTCTTTGCTCCCCAATTCCTCCATCCGCATTCTACTCATACTTCCAACCACACTCACCGGCGGGGTCCAAGTGGGCTTGTCCAGGCTCCTATACCATGCTGGAAGGGTGGGGGGGGGAGGGGGGAAGAAGGGGGAAGAAGGAAATGGGAGAAGGGTAGCTTAGATGGGACTGAGTTGGCTTGACCAGGCTCCTATACCATGCTGGAGGCGACAGGGAGACGGGCAGTTTAGATGTAGAGGCGATGGAAGGATTGAGAGAACTAGCTCAGGCAATTGTTTTATGCTAGGAAGGGGAAAAGGCACAAGCACGAAATATAGACCGAAAAGGCTCAAAAGTCATTCGGGTTCCGCATGATCATACGTTTATGTGCGGAATTGGCGTGACGGACGGCTATTAACGCTGTACAAACTAGTGGGTGGGAGAATTAACAACGGCGGCGACTCACGCGAATCACCGCCGCCGAAGAGCGACGCTGAGAGAAAGCCCTGTGCGATGGGGAGGGCGACGGACGCTGCAAGCATGGCGTAATCCGACCACGCCATTGCGACAATTCGCGATGATTTGCGATTCGCGACGATGAGCGACGACAGGATCAACGACGGAGAAGTAATCCCAAGGATGACCAGGACGAACCGGGGGCGATCAGAGGAGAGGCGGAGGCGTCAGGGAGAAAAATAGCAGGCCGGCGGTACTGTAAATAGGACACCTTTCAATACTCATCTTGCTTCACCTTTCTTGGCTTGGGATTCTGCTGCGCCACATCCTCCCCGCTCCCCCCCTCTCCCCCAAGCGACAATGTGGCGCCACATTCAATTCTGTTGCGCCACATTGCCCCTCCGGGGAACCCCCAAAGCTCCCCCAGCCCAGAGCCCCCTATGGAGCGCCCCTCCCCGCAAAAGGCCATTTCCGCCGCACAGTTACCCAACCTTTCCCCAAAAGGGGATTGGGTGAGAGGGGGGCGCGCCCGTTTTAGCCAGGTGCTCGACGCTCATTGATTTGACACGCGGCGAAGCGTGAGCCGCTGGTTGATGTCCCCTCGGATTGGCGCATGACAAAAAAAAGTTGGCAGTTGGAAATAATAATGTATGTGAGTTGTGGGAACATCGTATTCATGTCATCCAGAGTATACAGTGCAATTATCGCGTCTAATTATATGAAGAACTGCATTCTGCGAGCGAATGTGCATGAAGAGTACGGATGGACCTCGAGATTTGTTCCTCACCTCAACCTTCAAGGCGTGTCCCGCGCGTACGTTTTTCGCTCAATACCCTACCCAACCATTTGGTTCGTTTTTTGAACCTTTTTACGCGCGCAGAGCATCTCTCCCAACCGCAATAAAACGTACGCGCGGGACACGCCATGAAAATCAAGTTCAGAGCCTACATCAAGCTGTACATCAGTTCTAGACTTCAACTAGAAGCAAATGAGAGGCAAATGTGTGATGTCCAGATTACGAAACGTCAGTTAGAGACTCGTACCAGACCTTTCCGACGCTCCAGTCTCTCCCCGTTCTTTCGCATTGGAGGAGCTTGACCCGTGCTGGTCTCGTACGTCCTAATCCGCTGAAGTTCTCTCAGGCAAGGCATCACCATGAACCCAGACCGCGATCGACTTCGCCCTAGTAGGGCCGACGCTGCTAGTTCCAGAGACGTTGTTATTTTTAGAGGCACTGGGCATGGTGAAGATCCATCGCGCGTGAGGAATCCGAGCAACGCGACCGATGTGGGCGATGCGAGGAATGCGAGCATCGTGGACGAAGAGATTCGCGGCAAGTGGAACACAGTCATGGCTGCTGTTGACGAGGAGCGACTCGTTAATAGCATGGAGCTGGAACTGCAGCTCAGGAAGGTAATTATTGCTTACTCCTGAGTCGACTTAAAACTCGGTTGTCGTGGACGAAGAGAAGGTCGTTAATAGCATGGAGCTGGAACTGCAGCTCAGGAAGGTAAGCAAAACGCTTAGAATGAAGTTCTTTTGTTGCATTTAGCTGCTCAATGCGTCAAATACTTGAAAGCAACGTCACGGTTCTGGTCTTTAAATTCCTGGAATTTGCATGCCTCTCGTCTCATCCCCGTCTCCTCTGGTTTCCGTGGTAACCCGATTCCTTGGCAACCCGGTTACCTTGTTTCCTGCTGCAGGACCACGCGTCTCTGGGGAACGGGCTGGTGCTGAGCTCGTTGGAGCCCCTCACGGAGGACATCAACTCCGCCGCTGACATGCTGCAGCTCATCAACGACAACTGGGTGCGTGCATGTTGAGAGGATTGAGATAGACAAGGCCGAGACGATAGAGAATACACCTAGTGCTTTTGAGTCAACTGAACTGCGATGCGAACATGCTGCAGCTCATCAACAACAACTGGGTGCGTGCTTATGGAGAAGATGGAGAATACACTGAATCTTTTGAGTCGTCTCAACTGCTGACATGCTGCAGCTCATCAACGACTAGTGGGTAAGTTTTTCCCTAGGTGCCCTTGTCTCCCCTGAGCATTCACCCGAACATTCTCCTCCCAATTCTCCTCCCAATTCTCCTCCCAATTCTCCTCCCAATTCTCCTCACAATTCTCCTGCCCCAGGATTGGCTGATGAGCTCTCTGGACCAATCAGGGACGGACGAGTGGCTGCCAGTGGAGGTGGAGCATCAGGAAGACTTCGCCGCCCTCATGACCGCCATCCACGCCGCCCAAACCAGCCGCCTCGTTGCCTCGGGACCGTCGCTCATGGAGCAAGCTAAGGGGTTCACTGCGCCGCCTGCTGCCTGGGGGGTGAGAGCTGGTGGTTTGGGTAGAGGCTTTTGAGACGTGTAACACCAGCTGCCTTGTTGCCTCGCTCATGGAGCAAGCTAAGGGGTTCACTGCCCCGCCTGCAGGCTGGGGGGTGAGAGCTGGTGGCTTGGGTCGAAGGTTTTGAGACGTGTAACACCAGATGCCTTGTTGCCTTGGGACCGTCGCTGATGGAGCAAGCTAAGATGTTCACTGCCCCGCCTGCTGCCTGGGGGGTGAGAGCTGGTGGTTTGCCTAGAGACTTTTGAGACGCCTAACACCAGCCGCCTGATCGCCTCGGGACCGTCGCTCATGGAGCAAGCCAGGGGACTCACTGCTCCGCCTGCTGCCTGGGGGGTGAGAGACGGTGTGGTTGAGATGTGTAACATCAACTTCCTCCTTCTTTTGGGATCGTCGCTCATGGAGCAAGCTGAGGGACTCACTGCCCCGCCTGCTGTCTGGGGGTTGAGAGATTTCTCGTGGGGGGAAGGTGTAGGGAAAGGGGCTTTCTAGAGACATCTCTGACCGAGCAGCTCTCGTATTCCTGGCCTGCTCATTTCCATTTCTCTTAGTTTCCCTCCCTTGCAGCAAGAGTTGCCCCGGCTGGCCTGCCTGCGCCTGCAACTAGCAGAGGAGCTGCCTGATTCCGCCTGTCCATTTCCCCTCCCTTGCAGCAAGAGTTGCCCCGGCTGGCCTGCCTGCGCCTGCAACTAGTAGAGGAGCTGCCTGATTCCGCCTGTCCATTTCCCCTCCCTTGCAGCAAGAGTTGCCCCGGCTGGCCCGCCTGCGCCTGCAACTAGCAGAGGAGCTGCCTGATCCCGCCTCTCCAATTCCCCTCCCTTGCAGCAAGAGTTGCCCCGGCTGGCCCGCCTGCGCCTGCGACTAGCAGAGGAGCTGGAGCTGAGGAGGCGGCTGCAGCGACTAGTGGTGGGCAGGAGGGGGGATGGCGAGGAGAGCGGGGACAGGTAGGGAGGGGAGGGACGGTAAGGAGACGAGTAGAGAAAAGCAGATGTTGCTGACTAATGGGCTGCAGTAGTTAATGGCGAAGGGGAGAGGAGAGGGGGAAGAGGAGAATAGGGAGATCGAGGGGGAAGTAACGAAGGAAATAGGTGCTGCTGCTGTTCTGGTTGTGTGAAACCACCTGACTCACTGCTGTAACAAAGCTATTTCAGCTGCGAGCATCATGTCATGTGTACATATCCCATAGTAATAGGAAACACGGTTAATCGAACACCACTGCTATTACAAAATCCCTGACCGCCTATCAATATGTCCCAAAGTGAAGTGCAGTAATGCACCGCAGAATCCCACTGCTACTACAGACAGAATCCCTGAATGCCTAGACAAGCGGCGGAATGCCGAACTGACTGCTCTCAGAGGGTGGGAGCAGCAGGCTTCTCCATCATGCGGATGCCGGCCCCCTTGTCCCACTCCTCCGCTGACAGCGTCTTGGCCATCGCCTCCTGGCCTCGCCACAGGATCTGACACGCGAAAGGGAGGAACAGGCAAAGATAAGTGCGTGCCCGGCAAGTTCATGTCCGAGCTCCGACGGGTGTAGAAGAATAGAAACCAAGTTGCTGTGAAGTTGAATTACAACATGAAGGACACCACACCACCCCACCTTGTCAATCACTCCAAACTCGAGTGCCTTTTGCGGGTTCATGTAAAACGGGCGCTCCATCGTCTTGGCGATCTTCTCAAACGACTGGTGCGAGGGAGAGGGAGGGAGAGATATTGGGCGCAGTGAGATATAAGGCAGTGCAGTGCGGTGCAGTACGGTGGACATAGCACTCAAAACGGGTTCATGTAAGGAGGGCGCTACATAGCCTTGGCTATCTTCTCAAAGGCAGGACTGCCGTGGGTAGTGAGGTGGGATGAGGTGGAGTGGAGGGCAGTGCGGTGAATGTATCGAGGCACGAAACAACCACGAGGGATGAGTGAGGCACGAGGAGTTTAAGACCTGAACGTACATTGCCTGTGTGGCGAGCCAGCAGTGTGACGAGAGTGTCCCTGTTGTTCACCACCTGGGATAGGGGGGAGGAGATGGAGAAAAGGGCATTGAGAACATTGATAACATTGATAATATCTATAACATACATAAAAAACATTGATCATGCTGACAACAGCTGAGAGAATAAGCACATTGACGACACTGATAACAACATATTATTGATTTACATTGAAGGCTAAAACCGAACGCACCTCCTTAGCCCGGATGTGCACATCAATGGCTGACATCTGCCCGGTGGACGGCAGGCGCGGCTGCTGGATCATGGCCGTCGCATGCGGCAGCATGAAGCGCCGGCCCTTCTCCCCCGCCGCCAGCAGCATGCACGCCTGGCCGATGGCCGCCCCTACCCCCACAGTCTGCATCTGTTGGGGGGGGGGAGAGGAACGGGGAGAGGGAAGGAGAAAAAAGGGGGAAGGAGAATGAGGGGAGATGGGGAGGAAACGGCACGTGGCAGCATGACGCGCCACCCCTTCTCCCCTGCTGCCAACAGCATGCGCGCCTGGCCGATGGCCGCCCCCACGCCCACTGTCTGCATCTGTTTGGGGGGGGGGGGGAGGAGAGGATAGGAGGCAAGGGGATTTCGGACGCAAAGGGAAAAAATAAGATTCAGGAGTAAGCAGGAGCCCGGCAACACGCACGCTTTTCCTTGAGACTTCAAATTCCTATTCTTATACTCATCTTCCCTAGGAATCCCATCTAGAAATGATAATGCAACCTAGAAATCACCATCGACTTGAGCATACCTCGTTCTTCATTTGCATCATTGTATCGTAGATGGCAAATCCTTCTGTCTCCATGCCCACCTGCGCGCACCGAGCGAGATGCATCATTAGGGGAGGTTCGGGGGGAGGGGGAGAGGAAAATGCATCATGGCATCGTAGATGGCAAAGCCCTCTGTCTCCATGCCCACCTGTGCATACCAGGAGCGATTAGAGTGAGGGGGAGCGGAGGAGGGGAAAGAGAGGGGAGAGGGGGGAGGGGGAAGGGGGGGAAGTAAAAGGGAACAGAGGGAGGGTGGGGGTGTTAAACATCGATTTTATTCGAAAAGGCTAACTGCATGCCACAATCAATTTCCGTAAAGCTGATGCAGATGTAGGTGGGCTGGCGGGGGGCGCATGCGTGACATCATGTCATAGGCTCACAGCTCACATCTCACCGTTTCGCCATCTGCCCGGGATGTGCCGGTGGAGTTGAGGTACACGTAGGTGGGCTGGCGCGGGTCCAGCCACTGCAGGTAGAGCAGCTGCGCTATCACCAGCTCCGTCACCGCTGGCACCAGCTGCACGTTGGGGAAAAAAAAGGGAGGGGGGGAAGGGGGGGAAGGGGGGGAAGGGGGGGAAGGGGTGGGGTGGGTTAAGGGGCGGGGGGAGGGGACATGGAGCATCAGCCGCTGCAGGCGCTATAACCAGCTCCGTTACTGTAACGAAGGCGCGGGGGGGATGGGGAACGTTGAGAATGAGGTCACTGCAGATACAGAAGCTGCGGTACTCCTGGCGCCAGTTGCCGATGAAACACACGCACACTGGCATGCTGATACGCGCAATCCGGCTACCCAGCACCCGGCGCGTCAGTGCGGCACTACTGTGATCTAATGGTATTCAATCGTATTCAGTCGTATTCAGTCGTATTCAGTCGTATTCAGTCGTATTCAGTCGTATTCAGTCGTATCCAGTCGTATCCAGTCGTATTCTGACGTATTCTGTCGTATCCAGTGGTATTCAACTAGTCGAAGGACAACACAAGCACGCCGGAATCCCGTATAGTCGATTCCGTTGATCGACAACAGCGATTTAGGACAGCTGTTCTCACGCACGCAGCTACTCTAATGCGCTATAATAGCAGCACCCGCGGCCCACAGGCATGCCGGCGATAACGATATCGACTCAAGACCGCTACTACAACCCATCTTAAACGGCTACTCAAACGGCTACTCAAACGGCTACTCAAACGGCTACTCGAATGGCTACTCAAACGGCTACTCAAACGTCTACTTTAATGGCTACTCGAGAAACACTGCGACACCCACGGGCATGCCGACGTAGACGATTCGGCTGTTCAGCAGCAACGACGGCAGATCCGGTGGCGGTCGCCGCGGCCGGTGCTCGCCATACCCCCCGCCGCGCTCCACTTGCGCGGGCGCCGCCATTTGCGTCGCCGCCATTTTCGCCGCCGCGAGGTCCAGCAGCGGCGGCTCGTCGAACCTTCCGCGCGCGGCGTCGGAGATCTGCGCGCGCCCCTCGTCCGACCGCGCGGCTTCCGCCAGCCACGGGAGGAATTTGTCGTCTACCGGCGCGATCAGCCGCGGGTCGCGGCGGGCGCGCAACGCCAAGGTCACTCTGCCGTGCGATCCGCCGGCGGATGCGGGGAGAGACGTGCCGAGATGCTCCTTCCCCCCGCGAAGCGGAGATGCGGAAAGCGCGCCCGCGCCGAGCCCCGCAGGCACTAGCGACGCCCTAAGCGCAGAAGCCATGCTGGCGGAAATTTACAGCGCGCGAGGGCCTAGTAGACACTGGGAAAAGCAGGCTCGCTGGGCTGTTAGCACGGTGACGATTCAGCCGAATCGAGGTAGCTACTTGTACGAATGGCGTTTCCCCAGCCAAGCAAAAACAGCAGCAGGACGAAAATTAGGGTTTCGAACTTGAGGGAGTGAGTGAGGGGGGATGTGAGGAGGGAGGGCGGACGAATGTGCGTTGTTGAGGGAAGCGCGTTGTTCATAGTTATTTCAGGCTACACCTGCACAAGCAGTTGTGTTATAAAGTGAGACAGGCATCTATATTTGCTATGAATGATTCGTTTAAATTTTGGCTTCCTTACCCTTTGTGTCGAAGCCAAAATATTCGCGGCAACAAGGGTGTGCCCCTCTAGAAAAAATCTACAAGGGTGCAGCTTCTAGCCCTATTGGCTGCCTTGCAACCTCCTCCTCATCATCCCCAAAACCCTCATTCTCTTGAGCTCCCAGCACCAGAAACCCTTCATCCTCAGCCCTTGTCTTCCCCCCACCAGCAACATTCTGCTGCCCAGCCTGCCCAGCTACCTGAACCGCCTGACCAGGTACCTGACCAAGCACCTGGGAGGGAGCCCCACTTACGCTCCCTCCCTGCATTTTCTCCTCCACCACACGATCAAAATCCGATGCTGACACCACTGCAGGTGCTGCCAAACCTGCAATTGCTGTGGAGGCACGGACTGAACCTGCTGCTGCTGCCGAAGCTGCCATGTCATTCGTAACTGTACCCAAAACATCAGAACCCCGTCTGATGCCTGCAAACCCCACCGCACCCCCCGATACTGATGCCAGCCCTGGTGCCGAACCTAGGAGCGGGTCCGAGTCTTGGGAGTGGTTCGGGAATGATGGAGTGGTTGGGACAGCAGCAGGGAAGGAAGGGGAGGGTGCGCGGCCTGGGTTAGGTGTGGGGAGAGCTGCTGTTAAGGCAGGAGAGGAATAGACCGCAGTAGTAACAGGACGAGAGGGCGTGGTTACATGATGAGAGTGGGTGGTTACAGGATGGGAGGGAGTGATGGGGTTGGGCATGGAGGAGAGAGGCAGGAGGGAGGGAGAGGAGTGCGAGACATGGGGCTGATGAGGGGCTGGGGATGGTGAGTGGTGAGCCGGTACGGCTGGGGATGGACGTGTGGAGGAGGCAGCAGTAGAAGAGGCGATGTTTCCACCAGCAGCCATAGGATGGGCAGGTGAAGAGGAAAGTGCAGCAGCAGGAGCAGCAGCAGCGGCAGCAGTAGGAGCAGCGGCAGGAGCAGCAGGGGCAGTGGTGGTGGCAGGCGCAGCAGGAGCGGGGAGGGCGAGGGCAGCAGAGCCAGGCCCCTGCAGCAGGCCGGCCACTCCGGCTCCTGATGATTGCACGTTGGTGGGGAGGAACAGGTCGTGCTTCTGGTCCTTGAACGCCCGCCACACCTGGAAGGGAGGGGCCCAAGTGGGGGGGGAGAGGGTGGTTAAGTGTTGATTCCGGAAGACAGAGTGAAGAAAGGGGAAGGACGAACCTCAGACTTCAACTGTAGGTGACGGCCGGTGGGTGGGGGGCAGTGACGAGTGGTGACGAGCGGTGGCGGGAGGTCATGGATGACGGGCGGTGGCGAGCGGTGACGGGCGGTGACGGGAGGTGACGGGAGGCGACGGGAGGTGACGGGTGGTGGCGGGCGGTGACGGGAGGTGACGGGTGGTGACGGGAGGTGACGGGTGGTGACGGGAGGTGACGGGTGGTGACGGGAGGTGAGGGGTGGTGACGGGAGGTGACGGGTGGTGGCGGGCGGCGGCGGGCGGTGACAGACGGTGACGGGCGTTGGCGGGCAGTGGCCGGACGGTGGACGGTGGACGGGGTCCACCGGTAGACGTTGGACGGTGGATGGTGGACGGTGGACGGCGGACGGTGGACAGTGGACGGTGGACGGCGGACAGTGGACGGTGGACGGTGGACGGCGTCCACCGGTGGACGGTGGGCGGTGGACGGTGGACGGCGTCCACCGGTGGATGGTGGACGACGGGCGGTGGCGGACGGTGGGTGGTGACTTCGTGCCCACTGGTGGGCGGTGAGAGCAGAGTGCCGATCGGCTAAACTGGCATGGCAATGCTGTCAATTCAGAATCTCACCTCAGAGCCCTTCAGGATGTCACCTCAGATCCTTTGAGAATTTCATCTCACAGCCGTTGAGAATCTCACCTCAGAGCCATTGAAAATCTCACCTCAGAGCCGTTGAGAATCTCAAGCACGCGGATGGAGTAGGCCCCATCTGCTGCCAACAGCTTCAATACTTCAACTGCCAGCACTCGCCCCACCGCTGCCTCTGATTCGCTCCACCGCATCCGGGCAGCTAGCGAAGCTTTTCCGCCTGCCCGCCAGTCAAGAATTGCGAGCATGACCTGTACTAGGCCGTTCCTGGGCAGGCAGGACAACAAAATACAGAAGCGGGTGCCTATTTGAACATCGATCTGCCAGGTTGCTTTTCCAGCCACAGGGGGTTAAGGGCGTGGGGTTCAGGAAACGCCAAACATGCAAGTTTAGGAAATGCAGTAGTGTCTCCTGCATAAATACTGCATGCAACAAGAAAATGCTCGCAGGATAACGTGACTCCAAGCATCCTCAACCAATCGCATTTGCCACTGCTTACCTGAGCGCCTGGGCAACAATGGCATCTCGGGATCGGTTCGCCAGTCCCAGCAGCCTCTTCATGGTTTCCAATGCGAGCACGGCTGCTCCCGCCCACCCTATCGCCCGCATCAGGAGCGCTATCACCTGGGCGCGTAGAGAGCAAGGGACACAAAGGAGGGAAGGAACTTGATTAAACTCAGGATAACGTCCATGGATTCTAGCATCAGCACTGGTACTCCCGCCCACCACACGCGCATCAGGCGTGCTATCACCTGTGCGTGTAGCAGCAGGGGACAAAAAGAATGCGGAGGGGAATTGATCTATCTCAGAGTGATACAACCACCTGGGGCAGAATGAGCGAGGGTGAGAAGCAGTGAAGGCCTACCTGAGGGGCGTTGGCGCCTGGAACAGCAAGAGCCCACCTGAGGGCGTTGGTGCCTGGAACAGCAAGAGCCCACCTGAGGGCGTTGGTGCCTGGAACAGCAAGAGCCCACCTGAGGGGCGTTGGCGCCTGGAACAGCAAGCGCCTCAGCACAGGGCCCATTGGCGGCTACCTGGTGGAGAGCACAAGCGCGCCCTCTTGCAGTGACTCACGGTCACCTGAGGGGTGTTGAAAGACTCACCTGAGGGGCGTTGAAGGTTGCATCTGAGGAGCGTTGAAGGTCTCACTTGAGGGGCATTGAAGGTCGCATCTGAGGGGCGTTGAAGGTCGCATCTGAGGGGCGTTGAAGGTCTCGTCTGAGGGGCGTTGAAGGTCTCATCTGAGGGGGGTTGAAGGTCTCACACGAGGGGCGTTGAAAGTCTCACCTGGGGGGCGTTGGCGCCTGGGACAGCAAGCGCCTCAGCGCAGGGCCCATTGGCGGCTATCTGGTGAAGGATCTTCAACGAGCACATGCGCGCCCTCTCCCCCGCCTGCCTCCTCGCCTCCGCCTCCGCCTCTGCCTCTGTTAAACCTCCCCTCACCCCACCCAACGACCCCCCTGCCCCTGCAGGTACAGCTGATGCCGCCCCTCCTGCTGTAGCAGCTGCAGTGGAAGCAGCAGGAGAGGAACCCCCAGCAGCAGCGGCGGCAGTTAGCAGTTGGCCCTCTGCTGCTGTGAGCAGCAGCAGCTTTGGCACGTAGCCCAGAAGAGCCACGTGTTCACTCAGGAGTGGCTGCACTCGCAGCAGGGAGATGAGCGCTGTTGCTAGAATTTCCACTCTGTCCGCTGCTGCTGTCACTGCTGCTGCTCCTACCGACCTCCTCCCTACCGCCGGTGATGCTGTTGCTGCTGCTGCTGCTGCTCCTCCTGCTCCTGCTGTTGCTGCTGCTGGTGGAGCTGGGGCAGCAGGAGCGAACAGAGCTGATGTGGCACGCACGTACTGGTCAAGAAGGCCCTCCAGGAATCGCTTGGGGTTGCGCAGGGGGTACTTGGGATCCTTGAGAAACAGACGGATGTAAACGCCGCCTACCTGCCACTCATCCCCCTCTTCAGGTGAATTCAACAGACTGTTGTCTGTTGCGCCTGATGCCCCACCTGGACCACCTGAACCAGCACCTGCTGCAACGCCTGCAGTGGCACCACCAGTACCACCTACTAAATCAGGCGGATCCCACTCAAAAGAGGTTAGACCTCCGAACACAGAAGCACCACCCTCTCCTGCCTTCCCCCCACCACCAGACCTCCGTGCAATCTCCACCATCCGTACAACCTCAGCAGCCAGAAGCGCAATCCGACGGCCGAGATTCAGCGCGAGGGCGGGAGACCAGACAAGCTCAGGGGTCTGTGTGGTTTGGGAGAGAGCAGCTATGGCTGCTTCCCCAGAGCCGTCCCGCAGGAAGGAGAGGAGGCCGGGGGGGAGGAAGCGGGAGAGGGAGATGAAGACACGCGGGCCGTGCAGGGGCTGGGAGAGGAGGGCGGAGAGGAGGAGGGCGGTGGTGACGCGGATAGGGTGGGGGACGTCGTCTCCTGAAAGGGAGGGGAGGGAGGAACATAGGTGTGATGGGGAATAGCGAAGTAAAGGAGAAGAGAGAAGGAACCCTAAGGTGGATGGAACCCTCAAAACGAAGCAAACATTCTTCATTACACTTGAAGGAAGACAAACGCACAAAATGCACACATACCAGGAGCAGGGAGCAGGAGGGTGAGGAGTCTAGTTTTGAGGCGCCTCAAAACATACCAGGAGCAGGGAGCAGGAGAGTGAGGAGTCTAGTTTTGAGGCGCCTCAAAACATACCAGGAGCAGGGAGCAGGAGGGTGAGGAGTCTAGTTTTGAGGCGCCTCAAAACATACCAGGAGCAGGGAGCAGGAGGGTGAGGAGTCTAGTTTTGAGGCGCCTCAAAACATACCAGGAGCAGGGAGCAGGAGGGTGAGGAGGAAGATGATGCCCCCCTGCTTCGCCACCACCCACGCCAGCTCAGGCGTGCCTGCCAGCGACTGCAGCATGGCCAGAATGGACGGCCGAGATTGCGGCGATCGCACGAGCAGCAGCAGGAGCATGAGGAGAGACCCTTGGTCTGACACCATTGCAGCGACACTTGGCGCGAATCCTGTGAGTCTGGTCAAGACAGCTAGGGATAGGTGGCGGATTTTGGCCTCTATGTGTGCAGAGGAGAGAGAGGATGGCGTGGAGGAGGAGAGGGAGGGTGGTGCAGGGAGTGGGGGGATGGTGAGAGAGATACAGGTGAAGAGAGGGGCGAGGGAGGAAGGGGAAGCGACGGCAGCTGCGGCCGAGGGAGAGGTAGAGAGGACGTTATGCAGGGATGTGAGAGCCATTATTATATTCTCCAGCACCCATCGCACATCCCTTGCCTTCCTCCTCTTCCTCTCCTCCCCTCCCCCCCTATCTCTCGTCCCTCCTCCCCCATCCATCTCCCAATCGTCTGGTATCCTAAACCCTCCGCCATCTCCCTCCCCAGCTCCACCTCTCTTCTCCTCTTCACTTCCCCCCCTCCCTTCCTCTCCCCCCTCAACCTCCTCCTCCTCTGTACCCCGCCTGTCCCACTTTTGCAGCAGCAGGGCAGCAGCCGGGGGGAGGGGAAGATGGTGCGAGAGGGAGTGGTGGAGGATGGGGAGCAGGGCGCACATGTCGTGCAGGAAAGGCACCAGAGCAGCGGAGAGAGACTCTGGATCCGAAAGAGGGTAGTCGGGCTGCTGGATGAGCAGGCGGAGATAGATGTCTCCCACCTGTGACAGGGGGGCAAGCAGGCAATAAAAGGGGCAGAGGAGCAGGGAGCATGATGCATGAAGGGGGCGAGAGTGTGGGAACGGGACTCGGGGTCAGAGAGAGGGTAGTCGGGCTGCTGAATGAGCAGGCGGAGCCAGACGTCTCCCACTGCTGTGCGATGCAAACAGCATTGGAGGGGTGGGGAGATGGGAGGAAGGGAGGGAATCAGTTGGAGGAAGGGAGCACATAAGGTCTCATTCAAAACTTAGGGTTAGCCTCATCCCTGCAGCTGCTGGGATGTATGCACACACGAGGCTCACCCCCACTACAACCCCACTCAAATCTCCTCTTAAGGCTCATCTGGATCTCATCCTCGCTATAAGCTCACCTGCATACTATCCTTGAAATAAGTTCACCTGGAGCTCATCCTCGTTACCAAGCTCACCTGAATCTTATCCTCGCGATAAGCTAACCTGGGTCTCATCTCCGTTATAAGCTAGCCTTGATCTCATCTTCTTAATAAGATCACCTGGATTTCATCCTCGTTACAAGCTCACCTGGATCTCATCCTCCAGTGCACCGTACACGAACGTTTGGCAGGCATCCACAGCATACGACCCATCTGCCTCTCTCTGCCCCCTCCTGTCCTCCAGGAACCGCAGCAGCTGCACCCTCATGCTGCTGTTCCATATCACCTGCGGTGAAAAAAGGGTCATGACGCGTGAAGGTTGCATACATACGACTCATCTGCCTCTCTCTGCCCCCTCCTGTCCTCCAGCAGCCGCAGCAGCTGCGCCCTCATGCTGCTGTTCCACATCACCTGCGGTAAGAAACAGGTCATCACGCATGCACGTTACATCCATATGGCCCATCTGCCTCTCTCTGCCCCCTCCTGTCCTCCAAGAACCGCAGCAGCTGCGCCTTCATGCTGCTGTTCCACATCACCTGCGGGAGAAGAAGGGGCCATTACACATTCAGGCTGAGCCCATACGGCCGGCCCATCTGCTCTAGGGTTTGGTGCTTGGTGTTTGGTGCATGCTGTATGGTGTCTGGCGGTTGGCCTCCGCAATCCGCCTTGGGTGATTGGTGTTTGGTGTTTGGTGTATGGTATGCTGCCCCGGGCAGCATCCTAGGGCAGCATGACGTGGGCAGGATGGCGTGGGCAGCATGCCTTGGGCAGCATGCCTTGGGCAGCATGCCTTGGGCAGCATGGCGCGGGAAGCATGGCGCTGGAAGCATGCCTTGGGCAGCATCTCTCGGGTAGCGTGCCTTGGTGTTTGGTGTTTGGTGTTTGGTGTTTGGTGTTTGGTGTATGGTGTTTGGTTTGGTGTTTGGTGGTTGGTGTTTTTGTTGTTTGGTGTTTGCTGCTTGGTGTTTGTTGTTTCGTGTATGGTGTATGGTGTTTGGTGTTCGGTGCTTGCTCAGGTGCTTGCTCCAGAAGAATGCTCTGGGCGCTTGCATCGGGCATCCAATCTCCACTCACCTGAGGACTCGCCACGTTGCTAGTCAGGGCCTTCAGCAGCCCCACAGGCGAGTTCTCTCCCAGCCTAGCAGCCAGCCTCGGCGTCAGCAGCACCTTCACAGCTCCCCTCGCTGCCGCATCTGCTGACCCCTCCTCCCCCTCCCCATCTCCCCATCCCTCCTCCTCCCCTCCCCCCTCCCCGAACCCGCTTCTCTCTCTGAGATACCCTGTGAGCCGGGCTATAGCCCGTGCTGCCAACACAGCATGTAGGTTGCGCGCTGACTGGATATTTGCCCCGATTGCTGATTGGTTCGTGGCGCCAGCAGCACAAGGGGCAGGGGAGGAGGAAGCGGAGGCAGTGGTATTGATGCTGCTGATAGTGCCGCCTGTGTTGGTGATGGTGGTTGAGGAGAGAGGGGTAGAGAGCGTGTGTGATGAAGACGGGAGAGCAAGAAACGGTGAAGGGGAAAGGGAGGCCGATGGAAGCGGGGCCCTGGTGCTGTCTCCATTGGCTGTGCCCGCACTCTTGCTGCTGCTGCTCATGGTATCCGGAGCAGTATCTGCCGTAGCATCATACTTAAACAGCAACGGCAGCAAATACCACAGTGCCCCTGCTCGCAGCAGCCTCTCTCTCAACCCCTTTGACAGCGCCAGGTGGAAAATCCCCTCCAGAGCTGCCTCCACTGCTCCAGGCGAGCTCTCCAGCTCCGTGGCTACCACCAGGTCCGGCACCAAGGCTGCCGCGCAGGCTGGGTTTGTCCGAACCTCGGTCCGAGCCGAGGGGAAGGCGGCAAGAATGGCAAGGGTGCGGAGGATGTGAGTGGCGATGACAGCGGGAGGGTCAGTGGGGGAGGAGGATGGGGAGAGGAGGGAGAGGCAGCGGGAGAGGAGGGTGGTGAGGAGAGGCAAGCCGCCGTCTCGCAAGAGCTCCTCACCGTTGAGAGAGGAGCAGGCACAGCTGGGGGATAGGAGAAGGCGGGGGCGGGGGAGGGAGAGGGAGGGGAAATCGAGTTTTTTGGCGTGCAACAGAGGGGACACATGAGTGACATACGTGGTATAAAGGACAGTTGTTTTGAGGCACGAGGAGATAGATGTCTCCGCCTCAAAACTAGACTCCTATCATGTGAGTGACATACGAGGTATAAAGGAGTCTATGGGGAACTAATCGCAGCACCAGAGAGCAGCTGATCCAGCAGCGCGCCTCTACTCACATGAGCCACAGCAGCTGAGTTGCTGCTTGCAGAAGCTGTGACCGCTCTGGCGAAAGGAAACTAGATGCCCCCTCCTGCTGCTGCCTTGCCTTCCCACCATCCCCTGCTGCCGCTGCATCTGCCTCATCATCCTCCCCTGAAACACCACCTGAAGATCCACCTGACGGCCCATCCCCATCCTCCAGTCGCAGCAGCTGCAGCAGCAGTGGGAACCCAGCGTACTTAAACGGCTCAAGCACCGTCGGATACCGCCTGAACAGAATAATCTGCGCTCGGAGCAACAGCAGAACCCGCCAGGTCTGCGGCCCCTGCAAGCCCTGCATGGCGGACTGCAGGTGCTCATATGCTTTTTGCACGGCTATGAACTTCTCCCTCCCCTCGGGGTTCTTGTCCGGGTGGTATTTGACTGCCATGCGCCGGTACTGCCGCTTCAGCACGTCCTCGTCCACTTGCACGCCTTGTCTTGTAGCAGGGAAGGCTGTGCCTGGGGCGGACGAGGCTGGCTGCTGCTTGTCTGCAGGAGGGGAGAGGGAGAAACAACAAGCATTTCGGAAGGGGGAAGAGGGGGAAGAAGGGCGAGAGTGGGATGTAAGGATGGGTGGAAGACTTTTGAGTCGACTCAAAGGTGGAAGGAGGGTGGGCAGAAGGAAATGCAGGACTCTCTCATCCATCATCCCTCTCGTCCCTCTCACCATCATGGCGCGGCTTAGGGATGGCGCGGCTTAGGGATGGCGCGGCTTAGGGATGGCGTGGCTTAGGGATGGCGTGGCTTAGGGATGGCGCGGCTTAGGGATGGCGCGGCTTAGGGATGGCGCGGCTTAGGGATGGCGCGGCTTAGGGATGGCGCGGCTTAGGGATGGCGTGGCTTAGGGATGGCGCGGCTTAGGGATGGCGCGGCTTAGGGATGGCGCGGCTTAGGGATGGCGCGGCTTAGGGATGGCGTGGCTTAGGGATGGCGTGGCTTAGGGATGGTGCGGCTTAGGGATGGCGCGGCTTAGGGATGGCGTGGCTTAGGGATGGCGTGGCTTAGGGATGGCGCGGCTTAGGGATGGCGCGGCTTAGGGATGGTGTGGCTTAGGGATGGCGTGGCTTAGGGATGGCGTGGCTTAGGGATGGCATGGCTTAGGGATGGCGCGGCTTAGGGATGGCGTGGCTTAGGGATGGCGTGGCTAAGGGATGTCGTGGCTTATGGTGATGGCGTGGCGTATGATCATGGCGTGGCTAACCACTCACCGGTGGGAATCTCCAGAATGGCGCACGCCTCCTCATCTGATATCCCCATGGGTTTCCTCGCCAGCTCTTCGCGCCACATGGCGAGCAGCGACTGGAGGAACTCCACGTGCTCCACAATGGGCCAATCAGGGAAGCGGATCTCGTCGCACAGGTTGCTGAGGTAGTAGCGGTGGCACCACATCTCGTCCTTGAGCTCGGGGTATGTGACGGGCGGCATGGGCGTGTGGTCATACAGCGCCCTGGAGAATTGGGAGAGGCGCTGAGGGAAGTCTCCCAAGTGGGAGAGGATCTGCAGGAGGGGAGCGGGAAAAGGGGGGGGGGGTGTGATGGGTAGGAAGAAAGGGAAGGGCGTGGAAGGGAAGAGGGGGAAAAGGAGGTCAGACAGGGTTAAAGGGGTTGGGTTAAGTATGGACGGAGTAGAGTGGACGGGAGCAGAGGAGTGAATTGATCAGAGAAGCACAGAGGATCCCCAACCTGAGGGATGAGCACACTGCCTCGCATGGCATGCGTCCAGATGAGTTCCGGCGAATCAGAGTCCGCCACGACAGCAGCAGCAAACGCTGCTGCGCCCCGCCTCTCGAGCACGTAGAGCAGGCTCTCCGGCAGCAGCACTCCCAGAATGCTGCGCTTGGACAAGGGTTGAGACGCCATGTCCGCTGCTTCTATGCCACTCACATATGACTGGCTGTTGGGCAAAGGGGAAGCGGAAAAGGGAGGCAGGGAATGTTGCAACGGAAGTGCCTCTCAAGCACGTGGAAAAGGCTTTCCGGCAGGATGCTGCGCTTGGCCAGAGGCTGTGACGCCATGTCACAGAAGGGAAAGGGGAGGGGAAGGGGGGCACGGGAAAGGGATGGGTTGGGAAGGGGGACGGACGAAGGTGGGAGGAGGAAAACGGGGAGGAGGAGGAGGGGAGGTGGCATGGTAGAACGATGAGGTTGGCCCAGTGATGAGATGGGGCATTGTAGTGACACACTCCAGTCTCACATCCTCTCACTGCCATGAGATAGTTGTGCCTGTAGGCGTCTTGACCGTACACATCAGTCTCACCATGTGGATGGATGATTTAGCATGACCAATGACCAAACCCCTCTTTCTCACCGTGTGTGTGTGGCATGGCAGAGGGATGCCATTGACCCGAAGTTGGAGCCACCATAAGCGAATGCAAAGAAGAACACGCCTGTCATGTACAGGCGGGTGGCAACTGTTGGATTGTAGCGCACGATCTCCTCCAATAGCAGCGCGGCTTTCTCCACTATAGCAGGCTCGTTGGTAAGAATGGCCTGGGAGGGGTGGGGGAGAGGAGGGAGTTGTTGTGATCGTAGCAACGAAGGAGACACCGAAAGTCAATATGTGGAAGGCATTCCCACAGTGGGACAAGGAGGGGAAGAGGGGGGAGGGGGGGGGGGTGGGGTGTTCAAGGTTATGGTGGAAGGAGGACAGCAAGGGGGAGGGAAGGGGGATGTCTGAGCATACCTGTGCAATGTGGGGCAGGCATCTGGGGTCGCACAAAGCCCTCTTGACCCTGGGCATCGGCACCAGCACATCCCCTCCTCCCCTCTCCCGCCCCATACTCCCCCCAACACTATCAGCACCACTGGCAGTAGCTGAACCATCGCCGGCATAAGCTCCCCCGCTTCCCACTAGCACTTCTGATGGGCCATTGGCGGATGCAGGATGTGATTGTAACGAGGGGAGGTGGAAGGAGGAGGTGGAGGAAGAGGAGGAGACGAGGGATAGGAGGATGTCGAGTGCCGTTTCACCGACCTGATTGAGTAGATAGTGGGAGCGAGAGAGGGTGGGAGGGGGGGAGTAACGGAGGCAAACAGACCAATGGATGAATGGATGGAGGAATGGAAGAATGGAGGGAAGGGCGAAGAAGAATGTAAGGAAGGGACGAGGGGAGGGGAGCAAAGAGGAGGCAACGAGGGACATAGCAAAGCATGGATCAACGCTGTTAACAGGATGTCAGTAACTGGATGTCAGTACAGAAACTCCACCAATCACCAACCTGAGCAGGCGTCAGGATAGCCACACCAGACGCCATGGCCCACCGCAGCTCCCTCACATCACACACCCGCCTCCACTCGTCCCACCCTGCCGCCCAGCACCTGCTGCCCCACTCGATCTCCCCCCGCCACCGCGCCTGCTTCACTGCATCCTTCTGCACCGGCCCCACCCTTCCCCCGTTGGGCAGCATGTAGAACCATTCTTTAGGGGGCTCCGTGTAGGCCGTGGCTGCCAGGAGGTTGGACTGGATTGATGGGGGTGAGGGGTTTGATGGGGGATAAGGGAGGGAAGAGTGGAGGATAGAGGGGAGTGGTGATGGGGGGTGTGTGGACATATCTGATGACCAACGGGGAGATGAATGAGAATGGAGCTATGAACACAGGGAGGGGATGCGCCGAGAGAAGGGATGGGGGAAGCCGGGGGGGTTTAAATGAGAGGAGGGGTGGATAAGGAGGAAAGTGTGGGAAGTTAGGATGGTGCATGGCGTTATGGAGATGGGTAAAGGGGGCGGTACATCTGGAGGGGGATCTGGAGAAGGGGGGAGTTGCCTAGTGCACACACCTGGAGGGGGATGGAGGTGCGTTCCCACCTGGAGGGGGATGGAGGTGCGTTCATGGGCGTCATGTGCGGAGCAGAGGAGATCCACTGCCAGCTCACAGCCACCCACCGCCACACAGGCACTCGCATTCTCCCGCACTTGTACCAATGCCTGGAGATCGGGGAATCAAGGGGTCAGGGAAGGAGAGTGAGATGGGCCGGAGGGGAGAAAGGCAAGGCATCCAGGGCCATACACCCGCATCAGGGGGGATGCATGGGCGGGAATGCATGGGGGGGGATGCATGGGGGAGGATGCATGGGGGGGTTTGTATAGGGGGGGGATGCATAGGGGGGAATGCATAGGGAAGGATGCATTGGGGGGGATGCATGGTGGGGGATGCATAGGGGGAGATGCATGCATGGGGGGGGATGCATTGGGGGGGATGCATAGGGGGGGGATGCATAGGGGGGGATGCATAGGGGGGGATGCATAGGGGAGGATGCATAGGGGGGGGGATGCATAGGGGGGGATGCATGGGGGGGATGCATTGGGGGGGATGCACAAGGGGGGGGGATGCATGGGGGGGGGTTGCATGGGGGGATGCATGGGGGGGAATGCAAGGAGGGGGATGCATGGGGGGGGATGCATGGGGGGGATGCATGAGGGGGATGCATAGAGGGGGGATGCATGGGGGGGATGTATGGGGGGGGGATGCATTGGGGTGGATGCATTGGGGGGGATGCATGGGGGAAGATACACAGGGGGGGATGCAAAGGAGGGGATGCATCGGGGGGGGATACATAGGGGGGGATGCATAGGGGAGGATGCATAGGGGGGGATGCATAAGGGGGGATGGATGTGGGGGGGGATGCATGGGGGGGGTTGTGGGGGGATGTGTGGGGGGGAATGCACGGGGGAGGATGCATGGGGTTGGATGCATGAGGTTGTTGCTGGGGGGGAATGCATGAGGGGGTTCGTATGGGGGGGATGCATGGAGTTGGATGCATCGGGGGAGATGCATGGAGTTGGATGCATGGGGGTGGATGCATGGCGGTGGATGCATGGGGGTGGATGCATGGCGGTGGATGCATGGGTGTGTACCTGAAGCAGTAGCAGCAGGCGGTGCCTGAGCGTCCTATCCATGGTCCGATCCAGCAGCAGCGTGACATGAGCAGTGCCATCAAACGGGCCTATCAAAGCCCCATACTGCCCGTACACAATCGCCATGGCCCGCGCACACAGCTCCCGGACCGTGTTGTTCAGCGTCCCCCCTCCCTTCTCTCCCTGCCTCTTTCCCTTTCCTGCTCCTCCTCCCACGCCTCCTCCTTCCCCCCCTCCTCCTCCATCCCCTCCTGTAGCAGACTGCTGCAGCTGGGCCCCCCCAAAGCAGTCCTCGCCTGTGGGGTCGCACCACTCACTCAGCCTGTCAACGATTGGGTAAGGGAAGTTTTGGAGCAAGTGAGCTCCTGGGCAGAAGATGGACGCGCGGAGCGGGGATGCATATGGAGCAGGATGAAAGACAAGGGGGGCGGGCAGGCAAGTCAAAGATGACGAAGGCAGTGTACGAAGGATGGATGGGCCACGTCTGTTGCAAGCCTTCCAGCCAGCTCACACGTGCACCATTAAGACACCCACCTTGCGAGGTCCTGTGAAGCATCTAGCCCATCCACCACGAGCCCCATGTCCGCTTCTCTCAAGAAGCGGTGGTACAACGACCGGAAGAATGCAGCAGGGTCCCGAATCGATGCCACTGCTGCTGCTCCTGCCGTCCCTGGAGCGCCCGTTGCACCTGCCACCCCTGCTGCTCCTGCTCCTGAGACTAACTGACCAGCACTGCTGGGAGAAGCCGCAGAGTCATCATCATCCGCTGCAGAGGCACCATCTGTTTGGCCCTCAAGCGCACCTGGGTGGAGGAAGAGGCGGAGGTAATACCCCCCCACACACAGTTCCGAGGCCAACGACCGATAGCGCACTCGGAACTCCGCGAAATTCCAGCTGAGTACAACCCCCCCTTCCTCCTCCCCATCACCCCCCCCACTAGACCCTCCCTTCTCCAGCTCGTTCTCCCCTCGCCTGTCCTCCTCTGCCCCTCCCCCCATAAACCGCTCCTGCTCCACGTCCAGCAGATGTACCTCCCCCTGAAGAGCCTCCCTCAGCTCCTGCCTGGTTCGCTCATTCCAGATCAGATCCGCCCTGCAGTGGTCCCCTGCAAACTCGTGCCAAAACCGCTGCCAGTTGAGACCTCCCCCAGATGCACCTTCCACCGGTGGTGCTGGGGAGGTAGAAGGGACGAGGGAAGCAGCAGCAGGAGGGTTTGGGTGGCTGGGGTTATGTGAGCCTGCATGTAACGATGCTGCTGCTGCTGATCCTGGGAGTATGCCTGCTGGTGATACTGTTGCTGGTGCTGCAGTCGTGTGTTGCTGGTGCTGGAAATGTTGCTGCTGCTGCTGCTGCTGCTGCTGCTGCTGCTGCTGCTGCTGCTGTTGTTGATGATGAAGATGCTGTTGATGCTGGTGCAATTGGCCTTGGTGCAGCTGCTGCTGCTGCGGCTGCTGCTGCTGCTGCTGCTGCTGTTGGTGAGAGGGGTGTGCTCCCACTGCTGTCGCTACTACTGCTGCTCCAACCGTTGCTCCTACTACTCCTCCCGCTAGTCCCTGCCCACCTGCTGCAGTAGCCAGAGGGTCCACAGCAGCAGCAACACCAGCCACACCAGGACCCATACCACCACCTGCAGCAGCACCACTCACAGCAGCAGAAGGAGCTGGCGCGGCACTGCTACCACCAGCAGAAGTAGCAGCAGCAACACCACCAGAAATCGCATTTTCAACAGCAGCAGCAGAAGCAGAGGCAAGGGCATCCCGAACCGAACTAGACACCGAACCTATCACGGAGCTGGCTAGGGCCGAAGCGGAGGCAGCTCCGGCGGGCCAGAGGTCAGATATGGAAGGTGCAGACTGAGACAAAAAATCCGCACCAGATGCAGAAAACAGTCCATCCCCTGCAATCCCTGCTCCTAATCCTGCCCCCACTCCCAAAACACTTCCCAAACTACCTCCTGTGCCGCCCCATTCCCCAGCGCCTGCACCCCCCAGGCCATGCCTTCTGCGACCAATAGCAGCCGCTGCTGCTGAGATCCTCCTCCTGCCCTTTCTCCCAGTTGGCTGCTGACCTGGCACTGCTGACGTGTCACAATGTGAGTACAGGTGCGCACAGAGACCAGGAGGGAAGCACCTTCTGATTAACTCCAGGCTAGGCTCATGTCCCTCAGCCCATAGCGCAATCAGCTGTCGGCTCAGCTCTCGCCTCTCTCCCCCCACTGCTGCCACACTGTTGCTTAGGTGCCGCAGGAAAGCGCCGTCTTTTAGGGCGGCGTCGCGCATGGGCCGAGCGGCGGCCTCGTCTTCTTCTGCGATGGTGCACATGATGACTGCCACTGCTTCTCGTGTGCCTTCGGCCGGATGCGCGAAGAGAGCAAAGAGGCGGCGCTTTAGGTTAGCGACCTGATGGAAAATGTCAGATGGGGTGGCAGGAATCAGGAAACGGGGAGGGGGGGGGGAGGGAGGGGGAAGAAGGGTCACAAAGGGGGTTGGGAAAGGAAAATGGAAGGAGACTGGGTAGGGAAGACATTGCCTTCTCTTTCCTCAAGAACGTCTAATTGAATAAGCTCTTGCACTGTCCCTCACCTGCCGCAGCGTCTCATGAAAGATTGCATCCTGTGTGGTGTCGCTGTCAGGAGAGCACACCAGCGCCTCAGCCACCGCCACTGCTGCAGCTGACAGTAGAGGTGACACCGACCGTGGCTTGAGGCGATTCACCACTGCTGCCACCTGGGATGGGACGCAGGAGAGGTCGACGGAAACAGAAAGCTGTCAAATAGAGAAGGGACCTTCCACAAGCGGATGGAGGAAGGAGGGCTCGCGTGGATGGCTGTCAGTGTCGGGAGCGGGCTTACCTGGACCGGAGTGGGGAAGAAAGCAGCTTTGGCAGCAGCACGAGCAGCCATGGCTTTGGAGCACGCTGTACTGGCAGCTGCTGAGCCCTGACCAGCTGCTCCAACCTGATTGGCTGCCTTCCGGGCAGAGAGTGGAAGTGCAATGATGGCTCGCAGCAGGCCTGGGTGGGTAGGGCGTAGGGAGATGCAACAGACACAAAAAATGGAGAGACGCAGGGTAGAAGCGGGAAGCATAAAGAAGAACGGGAAGGAAAGGGTGAGAAGAGCAACAACAGCATTCTCCCTTCTCTCCACTGCCTTTTTCCCACCCACCCTTCTCCACCACACACGTGGCACCCACTCGCTCCACTTCGACAAGTGCTTCTGCCACAATCTCTCACCAAGTGCTTCTGCTGCTACTGCCTCTGACCCACTCCGCACAAGCCCCATGATCCTCCCCACTGCTCCCGGCATCCCCACAACCAATGAGAACGCGCCACTTGCCCCCACCAAGCGCCGCAAACACGCTAGCAGCCCAATGTGGGTGGCAGCTGCTCTAGGGGACGGCGCAGGGAGGATCGCTGCTGCACTAAAAGCAGAATCGCCACCAGCAGGAGGAGCAGGGGGACTCGGCAGCATGCTAAGAACAGCCATGATCACAACATCAGGCACGTCAGTTCCAGCCGAAAGTCCTGAATAGGCCACACAGGCATTAAACTCCCTGACTCTCCGCCACAGCCGAGTCTTTGAACCAGGGATGGTTCCCCCATCGGACACTGCGTCCTTTGCTGCCGCTGCCAGGTGCTTCACCATGAGCTGATCCCCCTCAAGGTCACCAAACAGTCCCTGGCCGATGCGAGACATGGAGAGAGCGGACGGCTCCAGCGCTGCAGACGCTGCAACTGCTGCCACAGCCGCCGCCGCTGCTGCTGCTCCTGGAGTTGCGTCTGAGGAGGAGAATGTAGGGGCAGTGGCGGTGGCTGTGTGGGAAAAAGAGGAGGAGGAGGATGGGAGGGCGGAGGCGGGGGATGGTGGGGTGCAGGCTTGGAAGGCGTCGCCGTAGGGGCCGTCTAGTCTGTGGCCGGTGGCAGTGGGGCGAGCGATGACAGGCACCGGCTGGCACGCCTGTGTGGGAAGCAAAACAGGATAGGGGGTGAATTAGTGTGAGTGAGCGACAGGACGAAGTGTGAGCAAGGTGCGAGTGAGGGAGGTGTGAATAGGATGTGAAAGAGGGGGGAGTTAGTGTGGTGTGATTCACTTATAGCAAATAATGCGTATAAGAAAGGGAAGAGCGGAGAAGGCAAAACGATCAATAGCATCTCACCTCGGTTTCAATCGCATCTTTGAGGGCTGCAAGGAGAGAATCTCGTGCGGCACAGCGGTACACCTGGTGGAACATGCACACACACAGCTCATTTGTTCATGAAATTGAGACACGCACAGATAATTTCTTGCGTACAAGAGACTCCGATGGAGACCGACACACAGCTCGTGACCATAATGGAGCTGGGAACACCAGCGATTGAAACAGAAACTTCGTGGAGAGGTGACTTATGCGAAAGTAGGGGGAGGCAAAGGGTGGGGTGTGCACGGCTTACCAGGATAGGAGCGCCATCAACAAACTCCAGAGCGAGCAGCTGGGGTTCCTCCACCCACCGCACAAGGGCAGACACTGTCGTGAGCTGACGCATGTATGTGGCCTGGAGAGAGAGGAGAGGGGGGGAGACAGAAGGAAGAGGCTTAGGAGCAGAAATATGCAGAGATCTACTTGTGTAGTCTGAGCTTGTGCACACGCTTATTTCGTCAATCAAAAGGGCAAAACGCCACCCTCTCACCTCATATGTAACCGGGTTGCGCTCCACAAAGTAGTGCCGAGTCACCACAAACTGCCGAGCCGAGCCGCTCTGCTCCACGACCAAATCCCCTTCCACTCCTCCACTCCCAAGACCCATGCGGCCTCCTGATTGGCCACTGCTGCTGTTACTGGAGGTAGCACCCCCACCACCAGCGGTCGCAGAGGAAGTACGAGGAGCGGAGTCTGGAAGCAGAGCAGAGTGGCGGACGAGAGTGACGGACCACTCCCCCAGAGGGGGCTCGTTGGGCCCCACTCCACCCAGAGCTGTGAGGGGTTGGGGACGGACCAAGGTGTTGGGAAGGACAGCATCGTTTGTCCACAAAGAAAGAATATGGCAGGCAGGGTATACGGCTAAGCAGTCCAAAAAGAAGGTTTCATCAAATAGTCTTGAAGCTTTCAGGGCCATTGACGGCAGGATTCAAGAAGCAGCCTTAAAGGTATTTTCATATAGGCTTCACGGACTGCAGCAGGCCTCAAGGCCATTGATACAGGATGTCAAACGCATCCTTCAGGCCTTAAAAAAAGATATTCACGGACTGCAGCAGGCTTTAGGGCCATTGATAGCAGGAGTCAAACAAGCAGCCTTAAAGGGATTTTCAAATAGGAAGGAAGGACTGCAACAGGCTTCAGGGCCATTGATAGCAGAATTCCAGAAGCAGCTATAAAGGCATTTTCATATAGGCTTCACGGACTGCGGCAGGCTTCAGGGCCATTGATAGCAGGACTCGAGAAACAGCCTTCCACATAACATACGTCAAAGGCCGATGTTTTAAGGCTCCATCGCTGCTGTTGATCCTTGCACCTCCGCAAAAGGTCTGCAAGGAAGTGTGAAATAATTTCCTGAGGATCACATGCATGCATGTCATTCTCAGCACGTACCAGTCTGTGACACAAAGTCGGTGATGCTCGGCCGAGAGGTGGTGTCCACTGTAAGAGCGCGCCCTATGGAGCCCTTGGCTGTGTCAACCTGACGGAACAGAACAGGGGATCAGAGGATTGGGCCAAAATTGGTGCAGAAATGACTTGTCAAGTGAATAATTTGGATGTGTAGAGAAACAGCAGTGGAAGGTACTTGCTGAAAATAACTTGGAAGTAATGTAGTAATTTTTTAGGCAAGTCAGTGGAGGTCGAATCTTCAAAAGGAAGAAAAGCCTTACAATCTTTGACAGGATGGCTGAGTTGGAACATCCCCCAGTAGCGGTGATTGCCTTTGCCCGCCTTCCAAACCCCAGGCGCAGAACAAAGCCCCCATCTTCCCTCCCCCCCGACCCCCTTCGCACACCAAAAAGCCCTCCAGACGAGCTTCCACCAGGTGCACCTGCACCAGATGCGACCTCCTCTGGGCTTGCGAGAATGGTGACAGCGGGGGAGGCGAGACCCTGGAACTCCACGCTCCAGCGCACGGCTGCTGCTATGGAGGATGACGGTGAGGACGGTGTGGGGGTGGAAGCAGCAGCCACTGCTTCTACGGGGGCTTGGATCACCTCGATTCCCACCGGTGAGACGCGCATGGCCTGGATGGCAGCGAGAGACAGCACAGCGAGACATGGCAGACAAGGGGAAGTCAGTGTGGTAAAGTGATCAGCGGTAAAATCCATGACGAAACAAAACTCGAAAGAGCATAAACTTACACGAGGTACCCATGTTTGGGAGCGGCGGCGGAGGCAGAGAACAGGGAAGACCGTGGAGGGCGTGGTGAGGGCACGAGACGGGTGAGGATGCAGCGCTGCTACCACCCTGTGCAACTCTGTGAGCAGCGATGCACGGTGACTGGGAAAACAGATAGAAGAGAAGTTGGACGTCAGTGTCTGAATAAGAAGGTGGTTACTTAACAACGCTGTGTATAGTTTGAACCTCCTGCAGCATTTCTACAGGGAGACTGAATTAGAAGCCAAAAGTCTAAGACACAACAGGTGGAGGTGGCGTGGGGTGTGGAGAGATACCGTGCAGAGAACTTGATGGGCTTGTACTTGCCACGACCATCCGTGCGCACATTGATCGTGAATTCCAGAGCCTAAGAAAGGCAAACGAGGCAAAAACGGCAGAGACAGATGATGGGAGGCTTATTTAACAGCTCAATGTTGGAGAAAACCAGGGAAATTAATAGAATTATGAGTGATTCGTCCAACGATGTTGATGCAATGCGAAACAATAGCCTGAGATACATCGACATCATATAAGCAGTGCTGGAAATCTCCAGATTCCACGACGACAATCAACCAGAGCATAGCTCCTGGCCTTTGCATGCACCTGTCCGTCTTCCTTCCCTCCCAGCGGAGGAGCCACCACAATCCCTTCATAATCCGACGCGAGGGTGTAGTGGTTGGTCGACGCGAGCGAGTGAGGATCGAGTGTGATTATAGCGGAGGATGACACGCTGAAGACCCGCTTGTACCGTCCTCTCCATGAGTGCTTGGTGGCATAACAACGGATAGCGTAGTCTGGCTCCTCGGGAATCCCTTCCTGCTGAATCACAGCGATCAGACGTTCAGAAACAACACGCTCAGTGGCGCTGTGGCGTAAAACCGTCTAGAGGTAATCAAACATGCAAACTCGGGAGTACCATTAGCCATGAAAGACGTATCAGCAAGTGCTCGAACATCACAGACTCTTACCTGACCATGATGGTCCGCACTGGCTGTAGCCCGGCTGAGAAAATCCATGATTATGCAATGCTGGTCCTGTCTTATCACACAAGGCTGATCCTGTCTGATCGTATAACGCGGATCCTGTCCGTTACCTTCCTCGGTTCTTGAGCAAGCATAATCTAAGTTCCCTGAGTCACGCTAGAGCTTTCTGGAAGAATCTCTTCTACAACGCTAATGTTCTTCCAGTCCCCGCTTGGCTGCTGCTCATGTTCAATACTAAGAATCCGATCACGTGAACTTGTCCGAGCGTTTCCGTGGCCGTTGATGTTCGTCAACCACAAGCCTCCGTCCCAGCGATTCGCGACCAGGTCGTACTGACGGAGCTCGTCTAGAGACGATGGGGATTCGAACGAACGTTCTCTACCTTCATCCGTCCACCCTTCTGACCTACGGTACTCGCTGATGGTTCTAGGACCAGGACGGCCTTCAAGCGACAGACTGCGCTCCTTTCCGAAGAGAAACACGTCGGAATCCCTCTCAAGCTCGGCAATCACACTGGAGGATATCCCAAGTCGCCTAACCCTCCTATTTACTGAATCTAAACGGCCTTCCCGACCTTCTACTCTACCCTCCCACGCTTTACTGATGCTGGCACCCAGCGCAAATCCCCGGAATTCGTTACAGAGATTCTACGGGCTGGGAGAAATGTGTGTGCTGGTGAATATGTGGAATATTTGAGGTGGGAGAACACCTGGTCTGGCCCAACGAAGAAATGAACCGAAATGACAACTCCAAGGCTCCAAAAGGAGAAGCTCTGCGACGTTCACGAACTTGTACTTTGCGAAGGATTTGCACTTTGCGCCCGGGATTATTGTTTTCGCAAATCTCGTCTCAGTGTTACTCTTTCCTCGTATTCAGTGGAAGTGCTTTCTCCGTGGCTCCTGTTTCCCGCAATTCCCAAGCGTGCCTGGGACGTCAGCCCCGGGCCGGATCAGTTCGGATATCACCACGTTCGGGAAGATCAAAGGCGTCAGCAAAACAGAACTTGACCTATCGGAGCTGTCACTTGTCAGTTTATTCGTCGCTAAAGTCGTTCGGTAGACGCACATCCTCGTTACTGCAACTCTGCCGAACCTCACCACCTGCTTCCGAACCTCAGTCAATATCGCTTGCCGAACAGGTCAGTCAAAAAGCGCCCAAGAGTTCCGCTGGTCAGGGGACAGAGGAGGTTTGGGGGGCACGCAAGGGAGATCGCGGAAGGCTGAAGCGGAACAGGGGCCTGGTTTCCGAGCCGAAGGTGCGGACAGCAGCCTGACTTGCGCGTTGCAGCCTAACCTGCGGAGCTGACTTGCGGAAGAGGAAACCTCGAAAACTGTCGCACGTTTTCCCCCTCTTCATACACTTGTTCTCCTATTTAGTCGTACAATTTTTACACGCAGCTTGAGCCCGTAAGCAGGAAATAGTAAAACACGGGCAAACGGGACTTTGACGGGGAAATCCCACAGTAAAAAATGACACCTGGTTACAAAATCTCGCTCATGCACTAGATTTATTTGCCTGCGCGACGTCCCAGCTCTGAAACTCGCAATTTTCGAAATACAACTTGGCTGTGCGCTATTGTTCAGGCTGCAGCCAATCAGGTTCAGTGTCAACGCGAGTCATGCTGAGAATCTGGTAGGTGAGATTGCAATTTGAACTGTTCCGGGTGTGACAATAGATGGGAGACGGTGTACAGTGGTTTGGGTTGGGATCACTCAGAGGGACGCAGGCAATCCAACGGACTCCGGTCTACTTTCGACAGTCTTTCTATTCTACTCCTGCTATTTCTCGCACGGGCTTGTATACTCCTAACGCTCCTCTCCCGCGCGTTTTACGTCGTTCATTTTCTTTTCACTTCGTTTGCAGTTTTTGCTGAAATAGAGCAGCATAATAAGCTCCTAGAATGATTGCAGGGGTCCTTTCTAGCGTCTGTCATTCCCAACCATCGATCTTGGCCTGATATTACCCTTATTCATTATAACCTCTAAAAAACCGAGCCTTCTAGCACTAAGTGACTTCACGCGTAAAGCACTAGCCTGCATAACCATCCTGTCATCATTCCATCGTCTTTAACCCTACCTCCTTCGCAGACCTCCTCCTAGGGCGTATCCTTCACAACTTGCTGCAATATTCCTCCACCTAGACCTGCCCCTAACTAGCTTCCTCGCCGTTTCACAACCCTCTATATTACCTTTAACAACTTAATTAAGGCTGGCTTCGTAACGACCTGATTAGCGGTGGCTTTCAGAGCAATGTCGTCGCCCGGTCGAATGTCGCCGGGTCGGATATGGGGGGAAATCAAGCGCAAAACCGAGCACGCCAGCAAAGGTATCGCCTCCCGTTTGTCTCACAACTTCCGCGGTCACTCGGGAAGCCGCAGCGGCCGCCGATCACTGCACGATGATTCCGCCAGTGACGGCCGGGGACCGCGCGGGGAAGAGGATGGTAGCCTCACCATGAGCCCTGACGCTTACGCGAGCCCGAATCGTAGGAGCGTCTCGATTTCGATGGCGTCTGAGGGTCTACCCCCAGTGGTCCGGCATTCCTTCTCCGGACCTATTCCCCTGAAGGACGACGAGGAGGTTCGGCATGTCGCCGAGCCGACCATCGCGGAACGGGAAACGCTGGGAGGCCAGGGGTGGTCTTATAACGAGTCTACGGAAAAGATCAGCGAGCGGGTAGCAAATGATATGGCAGAAACGGGTGGGGGTGGAGAGGGACGGAGGGAAGAGGGTGCAGCAGCGGGCGAGGGAGAGGGTGAGGGGGACGGGAGAGGAGCAGAGGGAGGGGTTGGGGGAGAAGCAAGAGGGGGGTGGGAGGGTTGGGGGATGTCGGAGGAACGGGTGGGGTGGTGCGAGGAGGCGCTGACGCAGCTGAAGCAGCGGATACGAGAGCTCGACGCCGTGTCGAAGGTGACTGGGCAACGAGGATACGTGGAGGCCTTTGAAACGCTGCGGGTGGGTGTCGTCCCGTCGCATCGCACGGCCCGCAGGACCACATTGCATCGCATTGCATCTGCACCACGTTGCACGACATTGCATCTGCATCGCACTGCGTCCCGTTGCATCGCATTGCATCCTGTTGCACCACCACATTGCATCACATTGCATGACATTATGCCGCATTGCATCTCATTCCGTGGGATTTTGCGTGACGTTCCATAGCGCTAAATCGAACCACTATTTCGGCCACCACGTGGAATAATCTTGTGTTCCATCCGCTGAGCACCGTTGCATGGTGTGGCGTACTATCAATCGAGCCACTAACCAGAGTCTCCTCCTTTGTACATTCTGTGCGTTTGTCCACTCTGTGTTCCCATGCATGCGCATGTGTATATATGTGAACATGCTTATGTCTATGACCATGCGTATGAGTATGTGTACGGATGTGGAGTGGATGCACATATGTGCGTATGCATATGAGTACATTCTGTCCGGTCGGCCCGGGTCCATGGATGCCTATGCATGCGTGCCTATGCATGCGTGCCTATGCATGCGTGCCTATGCATGGTACCCTGTGCATGGACCAATGTGCATGCATGCCTATGTATGAACCCCTGTGCATGGACCCCTGCACATGGACCCCTGCACATGGACCCCTGCACATGGACCCCTGCACATGGACCCCTGCACATGGACCCCTGTGCATGCATGACAGGCTCAGGCGAACAAGGCCTCTGGGGAGAGCAAGCAGCACTCAACTTCGGCAATGCTGCCAGCGAACCGCCCAAAGAACCGCTACGTTGATGTGCTGCCATGTGAGCCAAGCCCTTTCCATTGAACCAACTGCGGATCCTACGGATTCTTGAGAGTAGCGCAGCTCTCTGCCCTTGATGCTCTTTCTCCCTCCCAATGCACTCCCTCCTCTCCGCTATTCTTGTTGCACACTTGCCACTCAGATGAGAGCTGCCGGGTTATTTTGGGCGGGCAGGGAGAAACACAACCGGACGCCTCAGATTACATCAACGCGTCCCACATTGTCATGGTATGGCATTCTCACTCGCACACCGATGCATACATGCTCACTATCCAGCTGTTGCATTCTCGCTCTCAGGCCACCAGCTTGTGAGACCCCCCTTCATGGCCCCTGGATTCTCTGTCTACGGCCCTGCTTGTCTTCTCTCTGCTGACCTGAACGCCCCCTTCGGAAATATGCCACTTGTTGATGCTCTCTTGTCATGCACCTGCCTGCCTACCTTCTGCTGGCACGTGCCCTGCCTCGTGACGAAATATTGCAGGACATAGCTGCGCAGGGTCTGCTGGACGAGACTGCGGGCGCCTTCTGTTCCGCTGTGGTGGCTTGTTGTACTGCATCCGCTTCCCCTGCCCCATCACTCTCGTGGTGACTTTTGAGTCAAAAGTCTCGTGGTGACTCAAAAGTCATCCGCTTCCCCTGCCCCATCACCCTCGTGATACCCATGGCAGCACGCGACGGACCCCGACATGCCGCGGTACATACATACGGCGCAGGGCCCGCTGGACGAGACGGCAGGCGCCTTCTGTTCCGCTCGCTCTGATGGGTTGCTGTGCACCGCTCATACAGTACTGCCCCATCATTCTTCCGCTCTCAGTTCTGGTGTCCTGTTATGCACCCGTTCGTGCTGAACCTGTAACAGGACGCATCCGACCCCCACATGCCGCGGTACATTGCGGCTCAGGGCCCGCTGGACGAGACTGCAGGCGCCTTCTGGCACATGGTGTGGGAGCAGCGGGTGGCTGCCGTCATCATGCTCACCAGAGAGGTGGAGGGGTCTCGGGTGAGTGCGTTTGTACGTGTTCGTGCGTACTTGTGTGCCAAGGGGGTGGGAGCGTGGGTCAGGGCTGTTGATGGCGGTATGGGAGCAGCGGGCAGCTGCCGTCATCATGCTCACACGGGATGTGGAAGGGTCTCGGGTGAGTGCTCTGTGAGTGTTTGTACGTGTGCGTACTTGTGTGCCATGCCAAGGGGGTGGGAGCGTGGGTCAGGGCTGTTGACGGCACATGGTGTGGGAGCAGAGCAGCGGGTGACTGCTGTCATCACGCTCACCAGAGAGGTGGAGGGGTCGCGGGTGAGTACTCCCTTGCATGTGGACGTGTGTGTGTGTGTGTGTGTGTGTGTGTGTGTGTGTGTGTATGTGTGTGTGTGTGTGTGTGTGTGTGTGTGTGTGTGTGTGTGTATGTGTGTGTGTGTGTGTGTGTGTGTGTGTGTGTAAGGGAAGGGGAGAAAAGGGGGTGGGAGAGGGGGCTTGCACATGGTGTGGGAGCAGCGGATGGCTGGCGTCATCAGGCTCACACGGGAGGTGGAGGGGTCTCGGGTGAGTGCTGTGTCCGTGTCAAGGGACGGGAGACGAGGGGGGGGGAAGGAGGAGGAGGAGTGAGAATGGGCTGTAGTTGGCACATGGTGTAAGAGCAGTGGGCGGCTGATGTCATCATGCTCACCAGAGAGGTGTAGGGGTCAAGGGTGAGTGCTGTGTGCGTGCCAAGGGAAGGGGGAAAACGGGGGGGGGCGGAGGAGGGGGGGGGGGCGGAGGAGGGGAAATGGCCTGCGGTTGGCACATGGCATTTGAGCAGCGGGTGGCTGCCGTCCGTCATCATGCTCACACGCGAGGTTGAGGATCGCAGGTGAGTGCTCCCTTTTATGTGTACACACGTGTGTGTGTCAGGGAAGGGGAGAAGAGGGAGTGGGTGGGAGAGGGGGTTTGCACATGGTGTGGGAGCAGCAGGCAGCTCCCATACTCAGCTCACACTGGAGGTGGAGGGGTTGCGGGTAAGTGCACCTGGGGCACAGGTTAGCAGGTTGGCAGGGACGCAGGTGGCGGGTTCGCGGGTTAGCGGCAGCAGGTTAACAGGTATGCGGGTCAGCGGGTTAACGGGTTAGAGGGTAAGCGGAGTTAGTGGGTCCGTGGGGTTTATGAGTGTATGTGGGACTTGGGTCAAGAAATGGGTGGGACGTGGGGGGGACGAAGGATGAGAGAGAGGGAGGGAGTGAGAGAGTGGAGAGGATGGGAAGGTGGGGATGGTATTGGGAGGAGTGAGACTGAGATACCATGAGGGAAGGCCCCATGGCAAGCCGGCGCCTTTTCCCCCTCTTTGTCCTATCCTGTTTCCTATCCTGTTTCCCCTTCCCCCTCCACTCAAGTGCTCGCACTACTTCCCGTCCACCACTGCCGGCTGTGAGGCTTTTAATCCATCCCCTTCTTCCTCCTTGGCTTCCCCTTCTCCCTCCTTTGCTTCCCCTTCCTCCTCTGTTTCCCGTTCCCGCGCAGCTCAAGTGCTCGCACTACTTCCCATCCGCCCCTGGCGGCTATGAGGCGTATGGGCACATGCGGGTGAGGAACGAAGCGACGGAGGAGATGAGCGATGGGGGCACCATCAAACGACAACTCACAGTGGAGAACGACATGGTGAGACCGGTAGCCTGTAAGGCTGATTTTGAGTCGACTCAAAAGGGGCACCATCAAGTGCCAGCTCACAGTGGAGAACGACATGGTGAGGTGAGGCTCATAGTGAGTTCTCTCTCCCTAGTCAAGGTGCAGTCAAGGTGCAGTCAAGGAGCAGTAAAGGCTCGTAACACAATCAAGACACGGAGTCACCAGAGGAAATGAGCGACGGAGGCACCATCAAGCGCCCACCAGCTCACAGTGGAGAATGACATGGTGAGACGGGAGACCTTCCTAATCACGGTCAGCTTGCAATGCAGCACTGTCAGCATGTGGGTAGCCTGTCGAAAATATCAAAAGGTTCGCTATCACAGTCCAGTGTCCCAGTGGGGAATAAAAGCCCCCGGGAAAGCGAGGCCTTGGGTTCAAATCCTCCACCGTCCTCCGTCTGCCGTCCGCCGTCCCCCCTCCCCCGTCCCCCCTCCTCCCTCCTCCCTCATCCCTCATCCCTCATCCCTCCTCCCTCCTCCCTCCTCCCTCCTCCCTCCTCCCTCATCCCTCCTCCCTCCTCCCTCCTCCCTCCTCCATCCGTCCTCCATCCTCCATTCATCTGTGTTCTTCTCAGGCGCTCCCCTCTCTCTGCTACACCTGCACTTCCCTGACTGGCCGGACGGACCATGGTGGGATGATGGACACACGGTCCTTTCCTGCCTGCCTTCTCATCTGCTCTCCCCCCCTTCACTGCCCTGTCTTTGTTGCATCTTCGCAGTCGCCAGGCTCTCCTCTCTCCCTGCTGCACCTGCACTACCTGGACTGGCCGGACCACGGGGTGCCGCGGGACACTGAGTCGATTCGAGACCTGATGCGCTTCCTCAGGGACTCGCCCGTATCCAGCGGGCCATTCGTCATCCACTGCAGGTAAGCTAGGCAGATTTTGCCTGCTCAGGCCTTCACTTTAAGACAAGTTGAGACCTGATGCGCTTCGTCAGAGACTCGCCCGTATCCAGCGGGCCATTCAGCATCCACTGCAGGTAGGCTGCACACCGGTGGCGTGCCCATCCCGTACCACCCCTGCCTTAAGCCTGATGCGTTTTCATAGAGACTCGCCCGTATCCAGCAGCCTGTTCATCATCCACTGCACGTAACCTGCACTGCACGCTTCATCGGAGGGCGCTGTCGATATGAGAACACGGGATATGAGTTCACATCACACAGGGTATTAGGGCACAAAAATATGAGGCCACAGGATATGAGGGACACACGGAATACGAGGGCGCAGGATACGAGGGCGCAGGATACGAGGGCGCAGGATACGAGGGCGCAGGATATGAGGGCGCAGGATGTGGAGTCGTAGATGGAATACAGGTGGGCTGCGGAGGCCTTGTTTCCATCAAGTCAGTAGGTTAGTGCAACAAAACGAACCCCATAAGGGCACTTGATATGAGGGCACAGGATATGAGGGCACAGGATATGAGGGCACAGGATATGAGGGACACAGGATATGAGGGCACAGGATATGAGGGGCACAGGATATGAGGGGCACAGGATATGAGGGGCACAGGATATGAGGGGCACAGGATATGAGGGGCACAGGATATGAGGGGCACAGGATATGAGGGCACAGGATATGAGGGACACAGGATTTGAGGGGCACAGGATATGAGGGCACAGGATATGAGGGCACAGGATATGAGGGCACAGGATATGAGGGGCACAGGATATGAGGGGCACAGGATATGAGGGGCACAGGATATGAGGGGCACAGGATATGAGGGGCACAGGATATGAGGGGCACAGGATATGAGGGCACAGGATATGAGGGGCACAGGATATGAGGGGCACAGGATATGAGGGGCACAGGATATGAGGGGCACAGGATATGAGGGGCACAGGATATGAGGGGCACAGGATATGAGGGGCACATGATATGAGGGGCACAGGATATGAGGGCACAGGATATGAGGGGCACAGGATATGAGGGGCACAGGATATGAGGGCACAGGATATGAGGGGCACAGGATATGAGGGCACAGGATATGAGGGGCACAGGATATGAGGGGCACAGGATATGAGGGGCACAGGATATGAGGGCACAGGATATGAGGGGCACAGGATATGAGGGGCACAGGATATGAGGGGCACAGGATATGAGGGGCACAGGATATGAGGGGCACAGGATATGAGGGGCACAGGATATGAGGGGCACAGGATATGAGGGGCACAGGATATGAGGGGCACAGGATATGAGGGCACAGGATATGAGGGCACAGGATATGAGGGGCACAGGATATGAGGGGCACAGGATATGAGGGGCACAGGATATGAGGGGCACAGGATATGAGGGGCACAGGATATGAGGGGCACAGGATATGAGGGCACAGGATATGAGGGCACAGGATATGAGGGACACACGGAATACTAGGTGACACGGACGCCTAGCTTATTGTGGTGGACCTCATGGCATCGGCGCGCAAGGGGTTGCAGGGAGGCCCCCTCCCATCTGCTTCCCCATCCTCCTCACCCCCCTCCATCCCACCCCCCCTTCCTTGGCTCCCTCTTTCAGTGCTGCCATAGGGCGCAGAGGCAGCTACTGCGTGGTGGACCATGCAGTGCGCAAGGTGCTGCGGGTTAGTAATCTAACCTCCCCTTCAAATTGCTGCGTTACTCCCCTCCTGTCTTTCCTCTGTCAGTGCTGGCATCGGCCGCACAGGGGCCTACTGCGTGGTGGACCATGCTGTGCGCAAGGTGCTGCAGGGAGATCTGTCTTCACTGGACATGGCATCAACGGTGCTGCTGCTGAGAGCGCAGAGGGCAGGCATGGTGCAGACGAAGGTAAGGGGAGGTGTGCATTGAGGTATAGGGTTTACTCTACAATATCTAGGTTTTGGATATGACGTCAACTGTGCTGCTGCTGAGAGCGCACAGGGCGGGCATGGTGCAGGCGAAGGTAAGGAGAGGATATCAAGGTATGGCTAGTGGGCAGTAGGTTCTCTTGCAAAATCAACGTGCTGCAGGGGGGTCTCTCATTGCAAAATCAACTGTGCTGCCGCTCAGAGCGCACAGGGTAGGCATGGTGCCGACTAACGCTTGTCAATAAGCGGCTCGAGAAAAATATCTCCTTTTTTTGTTTCGCTTTCCTCTTTCTTAAGCCCCCTTCTCTGATGCATCCCATTCGCAATCAAAATTTACCTCCTGGCGCCTCTCTCAACCTCGCTTCATCTTCCTCCACCTCTCTCTTCACCCACCCTTCCCCCACAACAGGAGCAGTACCCGCTTGTGCTACACGGCGGTGCGCGATGTGCTCAAGCACCTGATAGGAGTCTTCCATGCCTCCCCTTACCTCACTCCACCGCGCTTCCTCCCCTCTCCACCCTCCTTAACCTCATTTCTCCTTCCCCCACAACAGGAGCAGTACCGCTTCTGCTACACGGCGGTGCGGGATGAGCTCAAGCACCTGATCAAAACCTTCAACAGTGGCCCCGACTCTGACTCCTCTTGACTCCTGACTCCTCCTGACTCCGACTCCTCTTAAAAACACCCATCATTATTCATTGCCCGCCACGCATGGGAGGGGACAGAGCGAAGCCGAGTCTGACTCCTCTTTGCGCCGACTCCTCTTAACAACAACCATCACTATGCAACGTCTCCTACACATTCACGGTCTGTTTTGCATGGGAGGGGGTAGAGGAGCGTGCTGAATGTAAGGTCGCTTGGTACATGCTGTGAAGCACCTGTTCTAAACCCAATGACTAGTGGGCCTGACTCTGCTCTTGCTATTAGGTATTAGAATTGGAATTGAATGATGGTAAAGTGAGAGTACACACAAATATACCTAAGTGTTGTACCCTCTAAGAGGCTACCCTATACAGTCTATACAAACATGACAAATACACATGTTTGACACACCCCCTAGACTGCATAGGGGAATACCCTAAACAAGCAGCTCAGGGCGGCACTACTAGTCCAACCTCTGAGACAAGGGTCTGAGAGACCAGTCAGAAGGAGTACAGACAAGGCAAGAACAAGACCAGGGCGGCACTACTAGTCCAGCCACTGGAAGAGGACACAAGTCCAGTCTGAGTATACATATAAAGGACAGTACAAGTCAAGGTCCTAGCAAGTGAGAAGCGACAGGAACTAGACCAAGCTGTACACAGTGCCGCTGATGATCTTTAGGCGCAAGCGCCTTCGTAAAGATATCAGCTGTGTTGGCACCTGAGGCCAAGTGTACTACGCGAGCCTGACGTCGCTGCTGCAGCTCACGCAGGAGGAAGTACCGCAGCTGAATGTGCTTCGCTCTGCCCTCGAGTCGAGGCTCCTGACACAGGAGGATCATGGCCCTGTTGTCAGCGAACAGGACCGGGGCAGAGCTAGGCCACTCACCTAAGTCAGTGAGCAAGAAGGTCAGCCAGCGGAGCTCCTGTGCCGCCATGGCACCAGCGTAGATCTCAGCCTCACAGCTGGACTGTGCAACAGACGAGGAGCGAGTAGCTCTCCACGAGACGGCACCTGAGCCAAGGCTGAAGCAGTAGCCCTGGGTAGACCTGAGTGTCTCGGCGTCGTCTGCCCACGAAGCGTCTGTGTGTCCAGTAAGGACCACTGGCCTGCGTCCTCCTAGCACTAACCCCATGCCCGATGTACTAGCAAGATAACGCAGAACCCTCTTAGCGGCAGACCAGCGCTGCGGTCGGTGTCTGCCTGTGGCCACAAAGCGCGCCAGGATGCTGAGAGGGTATGCGAGATCTGGGCGAGTGCAAGTCATCAGGTACATGAGGCAACCCACCAGCTCTGCGTAGGGGCCGCTGGGCTCTACCAACTCCTCAGGTACTGGAGCGGAGAGTCTGTGGTCTACGGGCAGAGGGGAGGGCTGTGCAGAGGAGAACTGAAGGCTGAACCTCTGAAGGACCTGGCGCACCAAGTGTGACTGAGTCCGCGTGATGGTGCGCGCAGCTCTGTCCCTGGAGATCTGCAAGCCAAGGTAACGGCGCAGTTCTCCAAGGTCAGTGCAGGTGTGTCTCTTCAGCAGCTCTGCCTTCACGGAGGCCAGTGCGTCCCTATCTGCCGTGGCAAAGACCAGGTCGTCGACGTAAACAAGGATGTAGAACGGAGTCTGGCCAGCACGAACGAAGAGTGAAGGGTCTGCGGAAGACGGAAAGAACTGCAGGTCAGCAAGGGTAGCACGAAGAGTGTCGTGCCACTCACGGGGAGCCTGGCGCAGGCCGTAGACGGGGCGCCGCAGGAGCCACTGGGTCCCAGGAGGGAAGGTGCCAGTAAAGCCCGGAGGGCGACGCAGGTAGACCTGCTCGTGTAGGCTGCCCTGAAGGAAGGCAGTGGAGAAGTCGAGGGAGTGAAGCTCGTAGTCACGCTGAGCAGCTAGGTGTAACAGAACCCGAAGAGTAGTCATCTTCGGGGTCGGAGCGAAAGTCTGGAAGAAGTCCACCCCCTCGCGCTGACTGAAGCCTCTAGCCACATAGCGCGCCTTGAAGACAGGCGGCTCTCCAGCAGGGCGCTTCACCTTGAAGAGCCAGCGGCCATCGACTACGTTCACCCCAGGTGGGGGAACTGCGTCGACGAAGGTGCCGGTGGATCTCCAAGATGCCATCTCCTGCTCCATGGCAGCTATCCACTGCGAGGCCCAGGGTCCCGAAGTCGCCTCAGCGTAAGTGCGAGGGGTCGGGATGTCGAAAGCGTCTGGGTCACCCTCAGGGACTAGCAGCATGGAACAGAGATGGGGAGCAGCCTCAGAGAGGAAAGCAAGCTCGAACTGGCGGTCCTCCAGGACGTCACTGCCAAGGGCAGGAGCACCCCCGACAGACGGAGGACAGGCAGGGTCAGAGACCAGCGCTGTGGCGTAATCAAGGCGGCGGGTAGAGGCGAAGTCAGCGACAGCAGCGACAAGAGCGTCAAGGCACGAGACCGGAACAGACGGGTCGGTAACGAGAGAGGCAAGGACCCGAGGAACAAGGGGACGAGCTGCACGAAGGTAGTCAGACAGCGGGGGGGGTGCAACAACAAGGGAGGACGGAGGAGGCGACGGCAGAAGGGGAGGACGAGACGCGTGGGAACGAAGCAATATAGGGTGGGAGCGCAGGACATGCGAGGCAGGACGAGCACGAGAGGGACGGTGAGACCAGACGTGCGACGGAGGAGTCGGGTCAGGAGACAGGGGAGGGGACACAGGAGGGGAACGAGGGGGAAGACGGGCCGGGGACGAGTCCGGCGGAGGGAACACAGGGCCGTAGACGGGAAGAGGAGGAGACCGGAGGAGAGGAACAGACGCAGGGTCGGGGGACGGAAGGCCGAGCAGGCGAAGGGCTGACACCGGCGGTGACTGCTGCTGCGGCGGTACAACGACGACACCTGGACCGCAAGCTGCTCCTCGGCTACCACCGGCACTCTCCACACCAGCACCCCCAGAGGGGCCACCCCCAGGGCGACCAGGACAAGCACCCCCAGAGTCAGCGAACGGGGGCTGCGACGGCGGCGGCGGCTGCGGCTGCGGCAGCGGTAGAGGCGGTGGAGGAGGGGATTGGGGAGGGGACGCCAGGGGAGGGGCGGCTGACGAGGACTGCACAGGAGGGCCACCAGAGTCAGAAGACTCCTCAACCGGGTCCACCGACGGAGGGGGGGTGACGTGGGACACACCAGAGGGGGCGGGACGGGGAGGAGGAGGGGGAGGGACAGGGACTACCGGGGAAGGAGGGACCAGGAACAGGGGGGGAGTAACCGGGGGACCACGGTGGGGGAAGCGACGGTAGTAGGAGACGGACTCGTCAAAGGTGACGTCACGAGAGTGAAAAAAACGGTGAGACGGCGGGTGGTAAAAGTGCCCGTCGGACGCGTCAAGGGGAAAACCGAGGAAGACGCAGGGAAGGGTGCGGGCAGTGAGCTTGTCTGTGCCGGAGCCACGGACGTGAGCAAGGCAGCCCCAGACGTGGAACGCAGATGCGTCACCAGGGGACCCAGTCCAAAGACGGGTCGGCGAAACCTGCGGCTGCTGAGGGTGCGGCCACAGGTTAAGCTGGTGAGAAGCGTAGCGCACAGCGAACGGCCACAGAAAATGGGGTGCACCGGCATGGATCATGGAGGTGCGAGCCACCTCCATGACCAAACCGATGCGTCGCTCAGCGACCCCATTCTGCTGTGGGGAGTCTGGTAGGGTGAACGTCTGGGTGATGCCCTCCGCACGACAAAAGCGACCAAGGACACCGGAGGCAAACTCGCCACCACGGTCTGAGTGAAGACGCAAGACAGGGAGACCGCGGTGGACACGCGCAGAGACAAGCCAGGGGATGAGGGCGCCAGGCACGTCGGCCTTGCGCTCCAGGGGAAAGACTGTGGTGTAACGAGTGAAGTCGTCGACAAGCACAAGGAAGTAGCGCTCTCGACGCGGCCCAGGGACGGGGGCGGGGCCCCAGACGTCCAGGTGCAGGGTCTGCAGCGGCGCGGCGGTAGGGGGAAACGAGGAGGAGTGGGGGGCACGGCGAAGCCGACCCTCGACACAAGGCGTGCAAGGTGGGGCTGGAGAGGAGGGAAACGCGGGGAGCGAACCTGGGAGACCAAGGACGAGACCGTGCTGAGACATGTGACGCAGACGCGGGAGCGCAGAGTGACCTAGGCGGTGGTGCCACAGGAGGGTCGGGTGAGTGAGGGAGCGACAGGAGCAGGCAGCAGCAACCTGGGTAGACGCAGCCATCTGAGGGGGCGCTCCAGCCGGGGGGGTCACGGTGTCCAGAGTGAACAGGCCGGACACCGGGTCCCGGGGGAACGTGGACAGGGGGGCACCAGTGGTGGCCTCGGTACAGACAGCATACCGCTCGTGACCAGGGAACGTAGTGGTGACGCCAAGGTCCTGGAGGCAGCGGACACCAACTAGGTTCCTGGAGAACGAGGGGATATGCAGACCTGTAAGAGAACCCGAAGGAACCGCCGGACAGGGAAGGGTGGTGGAACTGCGGGCGACTACCGGACCGCCGGAGGGGTCAGCAAAAGAGACGGCAGCTGGGACAGGAAGCGGCGTCAGGGTGGTGGAGTCGTGGAAGAAACACCGAGAGGCGCCAGAGTCCAAGGTGAAGGAAAGCGAAGCCGAGGGGTCTGGCGACGGAACGACGGCGGAAACACCAAGACTACACAAAGCAGGGGATCCTACGCCTGACGCAGCAGGGGAGGCTAAGCTAGGCACACCTACACTAGGCAACAGTGAGTAATAAGCGGGAAGCACACTAGAGTCATCAGCATACATCACATGCAAGGCAGAAACAGTGGCATCCATGTCCATATCAAAAATCTGAATCTGACGACTAAGCAAACTGTGCCAGTCTGGGAGGTCTGGCGACGGGCCGAAGCGCTGACGAAAGAGGTCGTCCAGGCGACAAAAACAGCGGGGAGTGGAGTGACCGATCTTACCGCAAACGAAGCCGCGGCGAGGACCGGTCTGGATCTGGTACTGACAACGCCCACCGCCAGAGACACCACGCGGCACACCACCACGCGCCCGACCGCCGCCAGCGCCGGGCCACCCGGGCGGGAGGACACTCGTCTGCCGCGGCTGCGACGGCTGCTGCGGCTGCTGCGAAGGCTGCGACTGCGGCGGCTGCTGCGGCTGCTGCACCTGCAGGGGCGGCGACTCAGCTGAACTGGGCAGGGTCCCCTGGTCCACTCCAGCACCAGGCGACCCGACCCCACCACTACCCCCGCCCGCACCCCCGCCGCGCCCAGCCTTGGGGCGGCGGCCCTTCCCCGAACGGACCTGCGCTGCAGCAGCAGTCTCAGCCACGGCGGCAGAGCCGTCGGAGAAGGTGCACTGAGCGGGGGCACAACCCTGAAAGATAGGGACCGGCACGACACCGCTCGCCTGGGCAATGGAGCGGTGACGGGTCTCTATCACAGTCAGGGTGTCTACAAAGTCAGTGAGGGTGAGGTCTGCGGGGTGAACGCTAAGAAAGCGGTCGCGGGCGACAGCAAGGCGGTCAGGGAGGCGGGTGGCAAGCAGGTAGAGGGTAGAGGTAATGGGCGGCTGGTGGGCTCTAAGCTGGGCTATAGTGCAGGCAGCGCGCCAGGTCTCATCTATCGAGCGCAGGTGGGCAGCGAGGTCAGAGACAGTGGGGAAAGATGCAAGGTCAGGAAAGAGCATCGGAAGGATCAGGCGACCCACCGAGGCAGCCGGAGGGGTGGAATAGCGCTTGATGACAGCATCTAAGTATGCCTGAGCAGTAGTGAGGGACCTAAAGCGAGGACGCTCGGATGGGGGAAGGGCGTTGCTAATGGCAAGCTGGGCAACAGCATCGCGAGAAAGCCAGACAGAGCGCGCACGGGCAGTGGCAGCAGTAGCCTCACGCTCAGTGGGTGTGGGGTCAGCGGGCGGAATAGCAGGGGGGTCTGGGCAGGGGAGCGTACCGTCAAGGTGTGCGGAAAGCGGTTCACCATCCTGTCGCTGGCCAGTGAGTTGACGGCGGAGGTCGGCAAGCCACGCCTCGAACTCTAGGGGCTGACCTTCAGCGTCGAAGCGAAGCTCCGCCGCCATCAGGAACAGTCCAGTGCAGTGCGAGGCAGTGCAGTGCGGTGCAGAGCGGTGCAGTGCGGTGCAGTGCGGTGCAGTGCGGTACAATGCGGTGCAGTGCGGTGCATTGCGGTGCAGTGCGGTGCAGTGCGGTACAGTGCGGTGCAGTGCGGTGCAGTGCGGTGCAGTGCGGTGTAGTACGGTGTAGTGCGGTGCCAGGCAGTACAGTGTGGTGCGGGGCGGCACGGAGCAGGGCGGGGTGGGGGGGAACCGTACCAGTGAGGAGGACGGGGCCGGGGCTGGCCCGACGGGGCCGGGCGGGCGCGACGGGTCCGGGCTGGTGCGACAGGGCCGGGACGGGGCGACGAGGCCGAGCGGGCGCGACGGGGCCGGGCTGGGGCGACGGGGCCGGGCGAGTGCGGCAGGGCCGGGCCGGTGCGACGGGGCCGGGCGAGCGGGACGGCGGCCGGGCGGGTGCGACGGGGCCGGGCGGCTGCGACGGGGCCGGGCAGGGTGGGACGGGGCCGGGCGGGGGCGACGGGGCCAGGCAAGGGCGACGGGGCCAGGCGGCTGCGACGGGGCCGGGCGGGCGCGACGGGGCCAGGCGGCTGCGACAGGGCCGGGCGGGCGCGACGGGGCCAGGCGGCTGCGACGGGGCCGGGCGGGCGCGACGGGGCCGGGCGGGTGCGACGGCGCCGGGCGGGCGCGGCGGGGCCGGGCGGGTGCGACGGCGCCGGGCGGGCGCGACGGGGCCGGGCGGCTGCGACGGGGTCGGGCAGGGTGCGACGGGGCCCGGGAGGGGCGCTACAGGGCCCAGGGAGGGCGCGACGGGGCCCAGTAGGGGCGCTACGGAGCCCAGGAGGGGCGCGACGGGGACTGGGAGGGGCGCGACGGGGCCCTGGAGGGGCGCGACAGAGCCCAGGAGGGGCGCTACGGGGCCGAGGAGGAGCGCGACGGGGCCCAGGAGGGGCGCTAGGGGGCCTGGGAGGAGCGCGACGGGGCCTGGGAGGGGCGCGACGGGGCCTGGGAGGGGCGTTACAGGGCCCAGGAGGGGCGCTACGAAGCCCAGGAGCGGCGCGACGAGGCCCAGGAGGGGCGCTACGGGGCCCAGGAGGGGCGTGACGGGGCGCTACGGGGCCTGGGAGGAGCGCGACGGGGCCCAGGAGGGGCGCTAGGGGGCCTGGGAGGAGCGCGACGGGGCCTGGGAGGGGCGCGACGGGGCCTGGGAGGGGCGTTACAGGGCCCAGGAGGGGCGCTACGAAGCCCAGGAGGGGCGCGACGAGGCCCACGAGGGGCGCTACGGGGCCCAGGAGGGGCGCGACAGGGCGCTACGGGGCCTAGGAGGAGCGCGACGGGGCCTGGGAGGGGCGCGACGGGGCCTGGGAGGGGCGTTACAGGGCCCAGGAGGGGCGCTACGAAGCCCAGGAGCGGCGCGACGAGGCCCAGGAGGGGCGCTACGGGGCCCAGGAGGGGCGCTAGGGGGCCTGGGAGGAGCGCGACGGGGCCTGGGAGGGGCGCGACGGGGCCTGGGAGGGGCGTTACAGGGCCCAGGAGGGGCGCTACGAAGCCCAGGAGGGGCGCGACGAGGCCCACGAGGGGCGCTACGGGGCCCAGGAGGGGCGCGACAGGGCGCTACGGGGCCTAGGAGGAGCGCGACGGGGCCTGGGAGGGGCGCGACGGGGCCTGGGAGGGGCGTTACAGGGCCCAGGAGGGGCGCTACGAAGCCCAGGAGGGGCGCGACGAGGCCCAGGAGGGGCGCTACGGGGCCCAGGAGGGGCGCGACAGGGCGCTACGGGGCCTAGGAGGAGCGCGACGGGGCCCAGGAGGGGCGCTAGGGGGGCCTGGGAGGAGCGCGACGGGGCCTGGGAGGGGCGTTACAGGGCCCAGGAGGGGCGCTACGAAGCCCAGGAGGGGCGCGACGAGGCCCAGGAGGGGCGCTACGGGGCGTGAGCGGAAGCGGTAGGTGGGGGGGGATCCTACCTACGCGTGATACCATATTAGAATTGGAATTGAATGATGGTAAAGTGAGAGTACACACAAATATACCTAAGTGTTGTACCCTAGAGGTAACCCTATACAGTCTATACAAACATGACAAATACAGATGTTTGACATTAGGAAGCATGTTTGAGCTGGGCTTGGCTGATTGCAGCGTGTGCGCATGTTTAGCAGCCCCGACAGGACAACAGCGCCGCCAGATAGTAACCCCTGTTGAGCAGCAGCTGCAGGGGTTAGGTAGGAGTGTCTGCCAATAGGTGGCATGGCATGGTATGGTATGGGAGAGCGACAAAGTGCAAGTGCCCATGCTACTGTATGGTGTCGGAATCACAGCCGCTAACCAGTGTCAAAGGGTATGTACGTGTGTACAATAGTGGGCTTATGTGGCCACCACAGCTCCCTATGATCACGGCATGTAGCCGGGACCCAGAGAGGTGCTTACTGGTATCCACATCCAAAAAGTGCAAGAGTAGAAGTCACCCTACCAGAGCAAATGAGGAAGAGGATGGGAAGGTGTGAATGCATGATGGAAGCATTGAAGTCACCCTTCTGTACGGTATGGTACGGTATGGTGCGGTATGTTCTACGGTACTTACACCAACCAACCAACATTGTGCCAAGCTGATTTGGGTAGTAAAGCATTCTTCCTGCTTACACGGGACGGGTCACGGGAGTAAGTGGCAACTGTAGTACGGTAATGGAATCCGAATAAACAACCCCCACACAACAGCCCACAGCCTGTGTGCTGTTGGCTCAATATGTGGAAATATTCCCAACATTTTCCAGTATTATTCGTGCACATACACACTCACGTTACATGAATCAACAAAACATGCAGCCCACAGCCTGTGCACTTGCCAGAGGAGTGCTCTGGTCTTTATTTCACGCTAGGTGACAAAGAGACCCACAGGCTCAAGCCACCCAGGTGGGAGGAGCACAGCACATCTCCAAATAGATACAGCTACCACCGTTTATCGCCTTCTTCCCCCATCCTGCCCTACAGTCCAAAGAACTTCTTGAGCCCATTGGGGCGAACCATGTTAGGGTTGGAACTGAAGAAGAGAGTGTTGGCCACCTTCTGGTTGACCGCCTGTGTGGGGTTGAGTGCGTCCCACCACAGGTACTTGGCGGGGGCGGCGCACGGGCCTGCCGTCACTGCTGCCTTGCCTGCACCTGCTGTCTGCCCGCACGCCACCACGGTGCCGGTGCTGGTGACGGCCTCGCAGCACGGGTAGGTCTGGTTGGTCAGGCCTGAGATGAGATGTGGGGTAGCACAGGGACATTGGGGCATGGGGGCATGGGTAAGACGTGGTGAGAGGAGTGCTTATGAGGATTTGTGTACTTTGAACGAATGATGAAGACATAGCTGAGCTGAAAGGGGAGCACTTGTGGGGATGGAAAGAGGGGGTGGGGGTAACTGGAGGAAGGGAGAGCTAAAAAGATGGAGTGGGCGAGAGAGAGAGTGGGGGAGAAGTGGGAAGAGGATGAGGGGGAAGGGGGATTACCAGAAACGGGGACTTGAATCATGGTCTTGTACACAACAGACTGCCTGAAGAACACGAGGTTAGGCATGGGGAGGTCCGGGTTGGTCCTCAGCTTGTCCGATTTCGTGATCATGGCGAAATTGTGGATAATGGTAACCTGGTTACCAGCATCCGTGCAGTTGATTCCGGTGTTTTGCGCGCGGCGCACGGCGGGAATACAGCCGAGGTTTGGCAGGTCGAAAAGGACAATGTTGGAGGAGCCGGTGAGTTTATAGAGGGACTGAGTGATGTTTATAACGATGTTGGAAACGGACGAGGCGAGGGCGGTCAGGGTCGTCATGTTGGGCTGCGCACGGCTGAGCTCAGCTATGTAGTCATTGGCGCCGATGCTGATCACGAACAGAGCCTCGCCCAGCTTCTGCTAGGGGTAAAGGAGAGAGACGGAGAGACAAGGGGAGAGAAGGTGAGAAAATATTGAACAACGACGGAATAATGTGAACGTGATCATGACGTTAGGCAAGTTTCAGAAGCGAACGGGCACAAAGAGAAACCCTAGCAAGCAAGCAGCCTTTATGTGGCAGTGGCGAGAGGGCTTACGAGGTCGGGGTTGTTGGTCCTCTGCGCCTCGTGGAACCACTTCCTGAACTCGTTGAACTGCACCTGCAGCCCGCGCGTCTGCCGTCTCGAGAGGGAGAAACGACGCACAAGAGACGAACCAAATTATTCACGCGAAATAGGCCGCGGAAGGCGTACGCGAGAAACTTTTTGATCGAGCAACGCCGAGAGATCGAAGAAATTGATCAGTTCAGGGCGACGAGGCTAAGAAATCACCTTTCCGCCGTTGGTGCCGGACTTGGCGCCAGCGCCGGCGGTCGCGAAGTCGAGCCCGGTGAAGGGAAGCGACGCATTGCGCGGAGCGAGATCGGCGCGCGGCGGGGCGATCGCGAGGAAGTCAGCTGCCAATAGAAAGAAGGGAGGGAACGAGGAGACCATGAGCTCATGTCATTCACAAGTTGTCATTCTCGGTGAAAAATCACGGGGAAAGCTCCGCCGGCTGTATCGAGTCGAGTCAGCTAGACGAGCTTGAAAAACTACCAACAAAAATCTAGTAGCATTGGTAGTAAATCTTTTTAGTACCGAGGTAGTCGACGACGAGCTTGCCGTCGGAGAAGCGGCCCGACGCGGGCTTGTAGCTGACGCCGTACGGCGCCTTGTTGGCCTTCAGCGGCGCCTGCTTGAAGAGATTCGCGTTGCCCACGTCCACCGACTCGTCGCCGAACACGTACACCTGCGAGATCTTGGCGCCGGTCGCAGTGCTACAGGCGCACGCCAAGACGGCGAGCAGAAGCAGCGCGAGCCTCGCAGCCATGCTTTCAAACAAGTTGTTGTTGTTGTTGCAGCGTGGAGTGGTCGAATTTGTCGAGGACAAGAGGGGATTGTTGGAGGGGGCTGGAGGAACCCCGACGGTACCGGTATCACTAGGTCTGGCAGACACTTGAGAAGGGAGGAACACGACAGTGAGAACGAGGGGACGAGGTGGAGATGTTTGGAAAGGAGCGAGTTGGCGAGTGATGAAACAACCGGCGATACCTGGTGAATTTAAAAGCGGATAGTCCCCTGCTCGAGTCGCGCCTCTGGGGTCGCGGGGAAGCACCTGGTGTGGCTGCTTACTGCCAGAGGTGGCTTCTTGGCGACCTGGGCTGTTAATGAAATGTAGAGCACGTATCTGTTCACTTGCGCATATAATAGTGGCTGCGAGCTCATTGATATGCTGTCACGGGAGGGAGATCAGATTTCGTACATGTCAAGACGGGATACCACCTGCGACGAAAATTTCATACGAGCTCGTCAGGCCTCCATTGTCGGCTCTGCTCTTCGCAATACACTTGCGAAAGGATTCGCGACACCGTGCAAGTTGTAGCAACTCTCGCATTCCATGAGGCCAGGGTGGGAGGCGAGGGATGAGGCCCTGCGACTCGAGGTAAAATGCGCGATTCGAAGCTGCCCAGCCATACCCACCCCTCACTCACGTGTGCATAGTCGCATCCATCATGTGTGAGTTTCAGATTTAGCACCACCGCCACTGTAACGCGGATAAGAAGGGAAAGGGGTTCGCTTACAGCCCGCATGGAACAACTCGAGAAACGTGGTAGCCTGATAACTAAGAGGGAGATGGTATTCTCTGAATTTAGTTGTTCGTAAGATTATATGAACTACTTATATTGCATCTCTACACTGATTCCCCTTCCATAAGCCAGCCTTTCTGGTTCGTCAACCGGAGCTGAAGCAACAGATGCTGCCGTGCTAGGCTGACGCGGGACGTGGTAAGGCCCTCATAGCCAATCAGCGACAAACTTCTACCGCCAAATTCACCGAACCTGGTGGAGGCACGGAGAGGGCTGGGATGTGATGGACCGCAGCTTCTGTTCCGACAGATTCTCGAGACGGCGATCTCAAGGCCTCTTTCAGTCTGTCTGTCTGACGAACAACAAGGGGAGTTCCTGTTCGGGATTCTAACAAGGTAACTAGGGAGTTAGAACTTCGTGCTTTTCGAATCCTACGGCGGCTTTTCGCCTTGAAAGTCTTGGAGTATAATTCCACGATTCGCGTTCTGTTGCGGTTTACAGTGGTTACGCATACGAGGTTTCGCGTCTAGCGTAGCATACATATAGGACGGCTCCGTTTCCGTTCGGCCTCGTCAACGTGAAGGGTGACCTTGAGAGGGAGAAAAGGGCACAAGTATTTTGAAGTAGCAACGACGCGAAACTTCGTAAACTGTTCGTCAAGCTACTAATAGGGTAACAGCAGCGGGTTACCACATCGGCGGGCCATGCGTTGGCCCTCCGACGAAAGATGCCGTCGACGTCGCGAGCCTCAGATAGCATCAGATTCGACGTTTCTGCTCCGCACGTTAAAAAAATAGGCTGCCGTCAGTGTCGCGAGCCTCAGATAATATCGGATGCTACGTTTCTGCTCCGCCAAGCATCAGCAGATTATCCATTACATAGGGAGTAGGTGCTACGTAATGACTCGTTGGTACTTGGCGATCTAAACGACGACCGTTTTATCGATTTGCTGCGATAACGTCAGGCCTCGGTTTCGGATCCGGTTAAAGTCGTGTTTCAACTGCGCTAGGGCTAGAGTTACCACCCCAACTCGTTTCCGACGGCGCATTCAAACCTAGCACCGCAAAGCCGCTCCAAGGGTATCGCGTTGGTCTCGCAATGCCTCGTGGCCGCCACGCGCCCGTGAGCTGGGCGTCGGTGCTACCGACCATCGCGCACGTGTGCCTGCTGCTCTTCACATGCCTCCTGATTCTGAAACTCCAAGGGCGATTCACCTGGTCGTGGTGGTGAGTGCAGTGCTTTGGTGGTGAGTGCAGTGCCTCTGTGGTGAGTGCAGTGCCTCGGTGGTCCTCGGTGGTGAGTGCAGTGGCTTAGCTGAGACTTCTCCCTGCACTGCAGGTGAGGATGTGTGCCTGCTGCTCTTCACGTGCCTCTTGATTCTGAAGCTCCAAGGGCGATGCACCTGGTCCTGGTGGTGTATCCTCCTGCTTCCTTGCCTCTCCTCCTCCTCTCCCCACGGCTTCTCTTCACGTCCCTCTTGATTCTGAAACTCCAAGGCCGATTCACCTGGTCGCGGTGGTGAGTGCAGTGCTTTGGTGGTGAGTGCAGTGCTTTGGTGGTGAGTGCAGTGCTTTGGTGGTGAGTGCAGTGCTTTGGTGGTGAGTGCAGTGCTTTGGTGGTGAGTGCAGTGTCTTAGTTGAGACTCCTCCCTGTTCTGCTGCTGTTCACGTGCCTCTTGGTGCTGAAGCTCCAAGGGCAATCCACCCGGTCGTGGTGGTGAGGTGAGTCCTCTCGATTCCCTCAGCTTTTTCACGTTCTCCTCTCTCTCTCCTCCCTCACCTCCTCTCACTCTCCCCTCCTCACTTCCCACGCTCTCCCCCACCGACCCCTTCCTCCACCCTCCCCTTCTCTCCCCCCCACCCTACGCCCCCCATTCTCTCCGCAGGTGGGTGTTCTGCCCACTATGGGTGTTCCACGGCGCCCTGTCTCGCTGCAACTGCTCCATGCCCGCGCCCACCTCGCCCTACGACCGCCACTGGCGCCCCTGCCACTCGCTGCTCACGCTGCCACTGCTCGTGGCCTTTGAGCTGCTCCTCTGCTGCTACCTCGCCGCTAAAGAGAGTGCGTTGGTAGCAGATAGTGCGTCGTTTTGTAATTTGTTATGGTGGGGACACATAGTGCTGGCGCTGCTCACCCTGCCACTCGCTGCTCTCGCTGCCGCTGCTCGTGGCCTTCGAGCTGCTCCTCTGCTGCTACCTCGCTGCTAGAGAAAGCACGCCTGTCGGTTTGACAGTTTGTTGTGGTGGGGAACACATAGGGCTGCCACTGGCGCCCCTGCCACTCGCTGCTCACGCTGCCGCTGCTCGTCGCCTTCGAGCTGCTCCTCTGCTGCTACCTCGCTGCTAAAGAGAGTGCGTCCGTGCTACATCGCTTCTAGAGAAAGTCCGTGCTTAACCTTCAAGCCACCGCTCACCACTCATCTCATCTCGCATGACCCCTCACCCATTCCCTCCCTACAGCGTGTGGGGGGCAACCGCCATCGGACCTGGCTTTGTGCTTCTGCCGCACATGCACCACCCACCACCCACCACCCACCACTCAATCATCGCGCATTACCCATCACCCTCCACGCGTCACCCCCCTGCAGTGTCTGTGGGACGGCCGCCAGTAGCTCTGGCCATTGTGCTTCTGCCGCTCATTCATCACCGGTTCTTACCCATTACCCATCACCCATAACCCAACATCCAGTGTTCATAGCCCGTGTCTCATAACCCATCCCCCCTCTCCAGTGTGTGTGGGGCGGCCGCCAGTGGACCTGGCCATTGTGTTTCTGCCACTCATTCTGCTCGAGGCACTGGTGCTCGTTGACAACTTCAGGTGAGGGCTCAGGTGAATATTCAGGTGAAACCCCGTGAAGGTGAGACTTCAGGTGAATTCAGGTGACGCGTCAGGTATAGCTTCAGGTGAGGTCTTAGAGGAGGCGCTTGTGCGCAGTAACATCCTCACGCCCCCTCTCCTTGCTGCCAGCTGTGCTCCTGCCAACTATGCTCCTGCCAGCTATGCTCCTGCCAGCTGTGCTCCTTTGAGGAGACACACCAATGGAAAGTCAATCATCTGTGTCCCCCTTACCCCTTTCCACTCCCCCGTCTGCCAATCAAAATGTGCCACGTCAGGATGTGCATGGCGCTGATGCCAGGGGAGGATGACAACATGACGGATGAGGCCCTATGGGAGACACTGCCGGTATGCATGTGCTGGTGGTGAATGGATGTGGTATGGGTGTATCAATGCAAACATGCATATTGACGGATGAGGCCCTATGGGAGACACTGCCGGTATGCATGTGCTGGTGGTGCATGGATGTGGTATGGGTGTATCAATGCAAACATGCATATTGACGGATGAGGCCCTATGGGAGACACTGCCGGTATGCATGTGCTGGTGGTGCATGGATGTGGTATTGGTGTATCAATGAAAACATGCATATTGACGGATGAGGCCCTATGGGAGACACTGCCGGTATGCATGCGCTGGTGGTGCATGGATGTGGTATGGGTGTATCAATGCAAACATGCATATTGACGGATGAGGCCCTATGGGAGACACTGCCGGTATGCATGTGCTGGTGGTGAATGGATGTGGTATGGGTGTATCAATGCAAACATGCATATTGACGGATGAGGCCCTATGGGAGACACTGCCGGTATGCATGTGCTGGTGGTGAATGGATGTGGTATGGGTGTATCAATGCAAACATGCATATTGACGGATGAGGCCCTATGGGAGACACTGCCGGTATGCATGTGCTGGTGGTGAATGGATGTGGTATGGGTGTATCAATGCAAGCATGCATCTAGCACGTGACAAACGCATCTGCCATGCACCTGTTGATACCACATGACGGATGAGGCCCTGTGGAAGACACTGCCGGTATGCATGGGCTAGTGAATGGATGCCACTATGCATGGGCTGGTGAATGGATGCCACTAGGCATGGGCTGGTGAATGGATGCCAGTACGCATGGGCTGTGGTGCGTGCATGTAGGTACCGTGTGCGTGTCAGTGCTGTATGGGTCTCAGGATGAGGGGCTGTGGGAGACACTGCCGGTATGCATGGGCTAGTGGTGCATGGATGTGGTATGGATGTGTGAATGCTCATATTCACATAGCTTGGCATGATGGATGAGGCGCCGTGGGAGTCACTGCCGGTATGCATGTGGTGTTGTTTGCCTCCCATGGGGCGTGCATTTTGGGGCTGTGTATGTGACAAACGCATGCGCCATGCACCCACTGATACAACATGGCAGATGAGGCGCTGTGGGAGACACTGCCTACTGGTATGCATGCCATGGTGAATGGATGGCACGGGAATGAATGCCGGTGTGCAAGGGCTGTGGTGTGTGCAAGGGCTGTGGTTTGTGCAAGGGCTATGGTGCATGTGACAGGAAATGCAAATTCATATAACATGGCATGACATGTGAGGCACTGTGAGAGACGTTGCCGGTATGTGTACTATGGTATGGGTGTGACAGCATGTGCACCCTGATCAAGTGAGACCTGGTCAAGTGAGACATGGTCAAGTGAGACCTGGTCAAGTGAGACCTGGTCAAGTGAGACCTGGTCAAGTGAGAGCTGGTCAAGTGAGAGCTGGTCAAGTGAGACCTGGTCAAGTGAGACCTGGTCAAGTGAGAGCTGGTCAAGTGAGAGCTGGTCAAGTGAGACCTGGTCAAGTGAGACCTGGTCAAGTGAGACCTGGTCAAGTGAGACCTGGTCAAGTGAGACCTGGTCAAGTGAGACCTGGTCAAGTGGGACCTGATCAAATGAGACCTGGTCAAGTGGGACCTGATCAAATGAGACCTGGTCAAGTGAGACCTGGTCAAGTGAGACCTGGTCAAGTGAGACCTGGTCAAGTGAGAGCTGGTCAAGTGAGACCTGGTCAAGTGAGACCTGGTCAAGTGAGACCTGGTCAAGTGAGACCTGGTCAAGTGAGACCTGGTCAAGTGAGAGCTGGTCAAGTGAGACCTGGTCAAGTGAGACCTGGTCAAGTGAGACCCTTTCATCCCTCCCTTCAACCCACCACCCTCCACCCACACACCCTTGCATCCCTCCCACTCTCTCCGCGCCCTAAGCACTTTGTACTGGCAGTGTCACTGACATTCTTCATGGCAGTAACCATACCAGCTCTCCCTCTCTTCCCTTTCCGCCTTTTTCTCCCTTCCCCACCTTTTCACTCCCTCTGCGCCCAAAGCACTTTGCAGTGGCGGTTTCAATGATATTCTTCATGGCAGCGACCGTGTTCTCTGTGCTCAAACTCAACGGTAAGCCACCACGTTTCACCCGCGTGTTGCGCGCGCTAGCTTTTGAGTCGGCTCAAAAGTGTTCTTCATGGCAGCGACCGTGTTCTCTGTGCTCTAACTCAACGGTGAGCCACCAAGCTTCACTCGTTCAAAGTCCATGGTAAGCTTTCTTTTGAGGCGCCTCAAAACAAAGCCCTCGGTAATCCACGTTGGAAAATGCTTCGCAAGGCAGCGGTTCTTGATAGCTCGAGCGTAAACACCAAAAAAAGCCCACGGTAATCCACCAGCATTTCCCCACTCAAGCCACTGACTCTGTACTGCTGCCCTTCCCAAGACCACGAGTGATGGCATTTGCCCACTCAAGCATTATGGTAAGCCAACCATAATGCTCTAATCTGGGTTTCTAATCATCCACTGCTGATTGATTGCGCCCCTTCCACTTGTGCTCTCTTCCTCTTCCCTTCATGCTTTGCCTGCAGATGTGGCTGAGGTGATTGGCATTGACTGGTGGACGTTGCTAGTTGACCTCTGGTGAGTGCAGACGGTGGTAACTTCTAATGATCATCTGGTTGAGTAAATTGCCTGGTTCTACTGACTATACGGCACGTGGTAATCTGCCGGCTTTCCGCAGCTGCACCTTATTGACTGGTTTTCTTGAGCTTCTTCACTCTTACTTAATCCGTACCTATATCATCCCTCTCTTTCACTGCCACGTCTGTGTCCCTTCTGCCCATCTGTCTCCCCACCAGCATTGGCGAGTTCTTCGCCTTTCTTCTCTGCATGCCGTGGACCAACCCACACCAGCCTCCCTCCCGTCCCTCTGTTTTCACGCGTCCCTTGCCCCCCCTTCTGTCTCCCCCCTCTCCCACCAGCATTGGCGAGTTCTTCGCCTTCCTCCTTTGCATGCAGTGGACCAACCCGCATCAGCCTCCCCCCCGCCCCTCCCCAGCGCCCTCCCCCTCCCTCCTCCCGTCCTCCCAACCCTCCCCCTCCCTCCTCCCGTCCTCCCAACCCCCTCCTCCTCCTCCTCTTCCTCCACCTCCTCTCCCCCTTCCGCCAGCATCACCATGACCCCCGCCACTCCCCTTCTCGCCTCCCAGTCTCCTCTAAGACCCAGCAGCAGGGGTGGCAGGAGCGGTAGGGGAGAGGCAGGGGGGGATGCGAGCAGCGTCGCCATCACCCCCGCCACTCCCCTTCTCGCCTCCCAGTCTCCTCCAAGACCCAGCAGCAGGGGTGGCAGGAGCGGTAGGGGGAGGGCAGAGGGGGAAGCGAGCACATCTGATTCTAGTGTATCAGAGGCTGCTGCTGCTGCTGCTAACAGTGGTTTGGGAAGGGTGGTTGGTCGGAGGGTAGACAGTGGAGGGTCGGACGGGGGGAGGGCTGGGAGAGGGGGGAGAAGAGGAGGGGAGGGGGAGGAGGAGGATGAAGAGGAGATAGGACGGGGAGGAGGAGGGAGCGGAGGCGGAGGCGGGGGAGGAGAAGTGGGGGAGAGAGGCAGAGGAGGGGAGAGGGGAGGAGGGAGAGGGAGTGAGGGAGGAAGAGAGAGTGAGGAGGAGGGGGAGGACAGTGACAGTGACACTGAGACAGAATTCCACTGTGGGGCGCCAGAGGTGGGGGGGCACCTGCTAAAAGTAGGAGTGGTGGTTTTCCAAGTGCTCCTGTGTATGCGCCTCGAGGGCCAGCCAATCTGGGCAGCACACATGTCCTACTGGATGCTCTTTTCGCCTCTCCTCGCTGTCCAGCTGGCGGCGCTGATGTCAGCGCTGACTCAGCTCGCGGAGGGGTTCCTGCTGCTGTACGCGCCAGATTTCGGGCGGCGATTTTCGGCGGTAGTGCGGGAGCATGACCCGTTTATGTTTGTGACGAGGGGGATGCGGCTGGCCGGGTGGTGGTGGCGGGATGACGAAGTGAGGGAGGAGCAGAAGAGTCTCACGGCCTCCCTCTTTCCCGGGTGAGTGTGAAAAAAGTATACAGAAACATCAGGTGGTGTTATCAGGCGGCCTAACTGTGCTCCTCCCCTCCCCTACCCCCACCCCGAAACCCTTTCAACACATATGACACATTCGAGGCAGTACCCCCAGGCCATATAAAGCGCATGAGGAAGGGGCAGCTAGCAGAGGAGGTGGTGCGGCTGCAGGCGGCGTTGGCGGACCAGGTGGAGACGGGCAAGGCGCAGCACCAGGACCTGGAGTGGGTGCCGGATCACCTCACCTTTCCCCCCTCCCCGTCCATGACGTTTGAGTCGACTCAAATGTCACCCCTGTTTACGATCCCCTTCCCTCCGCAGGAGATGTGTCACATTCGAGGCAGTGCCTCCGGACCACATAAAGCGCATGAGGAAGGGGCAGTTGGCAGAGGAGGTGGTGCGGCTGCAGGCGGCGCTGTCGGACCAGGTGGAGATGGGCAAGGCGCTGTGACATTGACTCTGCTGCTCCCCTCCTCTCCCTTCCGCCCAAACCCTTTTTACACCAGCACATATGATACCTTTGAAGCCGTCCCTCCAGACCACATAAAGCGCATGAGGAAAGGGCAGCTAGCAGAGGAGGTGGTGCGGCTGCAGGCGGCGCTGGCGGACCAGGTGGAGACGGGCAAGGCGCAGCGGCAGGAGCTGGAGCGGGTCCAGCAGGAGAAGGTGCTCTGCCGCGTGTGCTTCGAACGGGAGATCAGCTTGGTGCTGCTGCCCTGCCGACACAGAGTGCTGTGCCAGTGAGTGATAGGGGGAGGTAGGGGGTGATCAGATGGGCATGGGCGAGGCGCAGCAGCAGGAGAAGGTGCTCTGCCGCGTGTGCTTCGAACACGAGATCAGCCTCGTGCTGCTGCCGTGTCGACAGAGTCTTATGCCAGTGAGTTAAGGGAGAGGGAGAGAGGGAGAAGCAAGAGAGGGTGGTTGAGGCAGGAGCTGGAGCCGAGTGCAGCAGGAAAAAGTGCATATCCTCCTACTCCTTCTCACCCCCACGGGGGGGAGTGGCATGGGGGGTAGTGGTACGGAGGGTAGTGGCACGGGGGGTAGTGGCACAGGGGGTAGTGGCACGGAGGGTAGTGGCACAGGGGGTAGTGGCACGGAGGGTAGTGGCACGTTTGATACTGGCACGGGGCGTAGTGGCACGGAGGGTAGTGGCACGGTTGGTTGTGGCATGGGGGGTAGTGGCACGGGGGGTCATGGCACGGGGGGTAGTGGCACGGCGGGTAGTGGCACGGCGGGTAGTGGCGCGGAGGGTAGTGGCACGTTTGATACTGGCACGGGGGGGTAGTGGCACGGAGGGTAGTGGCACGGGGGATAGTGACACAGGGGGAAGTGGCACGGGGGATAGTGACACAGGGGGAAGTGGCAGGGGGGGGAGTGGCACGGGGGGTTAGTGGCATGGAGGGTAGTGGCACGGGGGGTAGTGGCACGGAGGGTAGTGGCACGGGGGGTAGTGGCACGGGGCCTCACATGCCGTGGATTTCGTATCCCCGTCCTTGTGAGAGGACAGGGTGGACGTAGATTTCCTTTTTCCTATCTCCCTGCTCGTCCTGGGCAGGGGCTAGTGGGTTAGTGGCAGGGGGGTCGTCCTCCTCACTAGCCCCTATATGCTGTTGTGCTCTGTCCGCCCACTCACACCATCCCTGTGCAGACAAGTGCAAGCAGTGCTCCATATGCAGAAGAGTGCCTATCTTATCCCCGTACTCCACCTCATCCCCTCTTCTCCTCCCTGTCCTACCCTTCGCACTCACACCAGCCCCTGTGCCGACAAGTGCAAGCAGTGCTCCATATGCAGAAGAGTGCCTATCTTATCCCCGTACTCCACCTCATCCCCTCTTCTCCTCCCTGTCCTACCCTTCGCACTCACACCAGCCCCTGTGCCGACAAGTGCAAGCAGTGCTCCATATGCAGAAGAGTGCCTATCTTATCCCCGTACTCCACCTCATCCCCTCTTCTCCTCCCTGTCCTACCCTTCGCACTCACACCAGCCCCTGTGCCGACAAGTGCAAACAGTGCCCCATATGCCGGCGGCACATTGCAGACCGCATGGCGGTGTTTGATGTGTGAGGTGCTGCCTGCTGCTACCACCCATGGGTGGAGGTTCATGGGATGGTGTTGAGAGCCGACTCAGAAGCACTGCCCCATATGCCGGCCATGCCCCATGCGGATCGCACGGCGGTGTTTGACGTGTGAGCGGCCACCCACCAGTTGAAGGTCACTCTTGATGGTGACGAGTGGCTTGTATTCTAGGCCGTGGTGATGGGCAGTACTACTTGTATGGCTGTGCTGCTGTGGGTTGCACTGCTGTGGGTTGCAGTTCAGGGTATTTTAACCAATCGGTTCAGGGGGGTGGGTGCTGTGTGGTGGGTGCTGTGCAGTGGGTGTTGGCAGTGCAACTATTATGTGAAAATGTCTCTTACAAACTGAGGCTGTGGAGCAGGGCCTCAAATTGCAGGCTTTTTACCCTGATTCAGGGTAAAATCAGGGCTTTTTTGGGGGGTGACCCTGATGAGACAGGATTTTTTTAAGACAGGCCTGAAATTTCAGAGTTTTTTTAAGAGTGAACTCTGATCGATCAGCGTGCGTAGTGTAGTGTGGCCTGTTTTTCCAGCGTCGTATCGAAGCCCGACCCTGATTCTTGTAATAGCGGATTCCCAGTCCCAACTCCCCCACCCCGTGATTTCCGTGAATCCCCCCCCACCGTCCCTGTCAATGACGCCGACTCGAGTGTGACCGACCAGATTCCAGCCCCGCTGGAGAATATTCTGCCAAATTTCCTCCAGCACATAGTGCTCGGCGGGGTCTAATTGGCTGTTCGAAAGTTGTCAGCCACTGCTGTCTTCAGCAGAGTGTGGCTGCAGGGGTTGGATTGGCTCATTGCCAAATTTCAGCCACAGCAGCCAATAGACCAGGTACAATGTTAGACAGTTGGCCCACCAGCACGGCAGTAGACCGCTACCCACCCGCTTCGTGAACCACATGCATGCATGCAGAAGGCTGTTGCGAGCCGCGTGCCCTCCAGAAACCTCAAGAGACCCCATCCTCTTCATCGATGTCTTCAATCGATGCTGTGCTGCCACACCTGCTGCCTCGTTCAAGTCGGGTGCTTCCACCCTCGTCATTCCATTTCTCCTCCACGGTTGTGACTGGTTTCTTTTCCGTTGCCATCGCGCGATGGCAGCACCTAGCGACGGTGATCCAGAAGGCGATGACGGTGGTAGCATTCCTCGTGCAGACCTGTGCACGGGGCTCGACTTGCTCCTCTCGACACTGTCTAGCCTTACCCGCATCCCGATTAGAGCCGATGCTGCGCCTAGAGAACAGGAACCTGCAAGAAAGGAAATAGCCGACTCAGTTTCCGATGTAGTCGTTCTTCCTGGGCAGAGTCTTGGACCCGGTCCGTCGGCACTAGCCGCCGTCGATCGCCCTGCTACTGCGACGACAACTCCCAAGCGCCAAGGTCGCTATCGCCAGGCCAAGTTACCGTTCGCGAAGCCGAATCCGGGAACTGCCGAGCCGCCGGAGTCGATACCTGCTGATGACGATGAAGAGCCGTCTGAAGACGATACACCTTCAACCTCCAGGAAGTCTCTAAGTCCTTCCGAGCTTTACGCTGAGGCTCTTTCCCGTTACAAGTCGAGGTGGCAGGAGCAGTTTCCCTAGCTCCTTTTGTGTAAAGCTAACGATGGGCGCCCTGCCTTTAAGTGTACCATCTGTCTGGAGCATGCAGGGCTCTCTGGAAGGACTGGTCGTCGTGGGCCAGGAATCACAGACGCACAAACACAGGCGTTCAACAGGCACGCTGGTACCGGAAAGCACCGCCTCGCGTTCGAGAAGCAAAACGTTCTGCTGCAGGAAGCTACTACCCAGACGCGAATCGATCAGAACCCGCACGCCGCGGATTTAGAGGGAGCGAGTGACTGCGCTTCTCGACCTGCTGTACACATGTTGCAAGACCAACGAACCCATGGACACATGGGTCACGATCACCAACCACCTTGCGTCGCGGAAGTTCAAGAACTTCCCCGAGGGCGGATACGGGACGTACATGAACTCGTAAGGCCTAAATTCCTTTAGACTTTTAAGCTTCGGATTCTTACTTTCCATCCTTATAAACCACTACTGACGAGATTTTTTATGTTATTAAACGCAGGTACGGTTTCGGGGAGTTCACGCAATCCACCGCGACCTGGCTGCACACCACCCAGCTGGAGCACCTCCTGCGGAGCCCGTTCATCGGACTTAGCCTCGACGAGAGCACGGACCGTTGCAGAGGAAAGCACATGATAGTCTTCTGCACTTTCATCCGGGACCTCCGCGTCGTCACCGAGTACCTGGCGCTGCTCAGTGCTGACAAGGCGGATGCCTCTTCTCTGCTCGCTCTGCTGCTCTCCCACCTGCAAGCAATTGGTGTCGATCTCCGCCGCATCTCGGGCATCAGTACAGACGGGGCGGCGGTGATGATGGGCTCGAAATCCGGCCTGGTGACTCGACTCCGGATGCGTATCCCTCACCTGGTCTCCTGTCACTGCATTGCTCACCGGTATTTTTTTTTTCCTTTTTTTTTTTTCCGCATTTGCACATATGGTGACTCGGGACAATACTAGCTATCACTCATGGTGGTTTGTTTGATTTCTCCCCGTGCTCTTTTCCATGTGCAGAGAGGCGCTGGCAGCTAAGGCGGCGGCCGTTCTTCAACATCATCGATGATGTCATCAAGGAACTGGCCGAGTTCCTTGGTCACTCAGGACCGTGGCACCAGCGCTTCCTCGACCTCCAAGACGTCTTCCTCTCGACGTGCTTGGAGCTGCAGGGTATTCACCAAGTCAGATGGCTCTCACGCGGCGATGCCATCGGACGGCTGGTGAAGGTCTTGCCAGCCATCGTCGTCATGCTGTCCGAGTTTGCCGACGACCGTCTTTACAAGATTGTCACGAGCTATAGGTTTTGGTTTGTGCTCATGTTTCTTGCTGATGTTCTTGAGCAGATGAACATTCTCAACAAGACTTTCCAGAGCTGCGAGGTAAGTTTCGTCACATGGTGTTCCTAAACCGCTACTGACGAACCATTGTTGTCTTACTTGTGTTCTCAAACCCCTTCCCGCAGCTGGACATGTCAACGATTCACGCGTCGGTCTCCCGCGTGACGTCCCTCCTCGAAAGCCGCTACGTCGACTGCGGCGACGACTTCAACGGGGGCCCGAAAGACCTGCTCACGGCCTTCCTTGCCCGTCACGGTCCTGGTGGTACGCGCAGCGTTACTGTCAAGGGCGTCGACTCCGATGGGCGCCCGAGTCGATTCACCTTCGACCTGCACGAGGAGCCATTGGATGGCTACCCGGGTGAGGGCAAGCACGACGACTGTGTCGTGGCGTGCATGGCGCTGGCAGAAGGCATGGTGCAGAACCTGGACGAGCGGCTGGGGGACTTGAAGCAGCTGGGTGGTTCAATGCTGTTCTGTGCGGACCAGTGGCCGAAGGGGTGGGAACGTGCTCCTCGGAAGGCCCAATGTCTGGAGTGGTTCGGGATGATGGTCGACCTCTACCATGCAGGGGAAGCCGAAGAAATTCTTCCAGGTATCTCACCTGTCTTTAACCCCGAGGCTTGCACGATTTGTTAATGTGGTCCGCTCTACCCTACTGTACTAATACTCTCCTCGTTCTCCCTCCTACCCTTCCCCTACTGGCAGGCATCAATAAGCGAGCGGCTGTGCTGGAGATCCCCCATTTCTGCCCCGTCCTTGCCGCCCTGCCAAAGGGTGACAAGGGTTTCTACACCGGCTTGATGACCATGCTGAAGTCTCCAGACTGGGAGGATAGCTTCCCCAATCTCGTCAAGCTGTGGTGCGCTACGGCAGTTCTTCCCCTGAGCACAGTGGAATGTGAACGAGGGTTCTCCCGCCAGAATGTGATCAAGAGCTGGCTGCGGGGCAGCATGAAGGACTCACGCATTGGAGACTTGATGTGTATGAGCCTGCTAGACTACGACCCAGACTGGGATGCCATCATTGACATCTGGAGAGCCTACAAGAAGCGGAAGCCCTACAGCACTGCCCCACAGAGCAGAGCCCAGAAGAGTAGGAAGGGGAAAGAGAAGGAGGACGATTCCCCTGTAGTCCACGACAGCGTGCAGGCAGAGGAGGATGCTTAAGTAGGTCCTAGTATGCCCATGTTAAATTGTAAACCCTTGTCTTTAAAAAGATAGTAATAATGGGCATTTAGTTGAACAGTGTGTTTTTTTGTAGGTTACTCAGTTTTTTCAGCGCAAATTTTTTACAACACCCTGATTGATCAGCGTAAGTTTCTTTGCGTGGCCTGAAAAAACAGTGAGGCAAGGGGGGGGGGGGACCCTGAGCGATCAGCGTGCCCCAAAACGAATCTGAGGCCCTGCTGTGGAGGCCCTGGTCTCGGCCCCACTTTGGCTGAGACACGAGGGTGGTGTTAAATTATATATGTTAGTATATAATTGTAAGCTTGGTAGGCTTACTGAACTTTACTGTAGAGGGTACAACACTCCTCCTTGTATCCCTCTCTCTTCTATTCTGATTCTCTTTTCTCTCAACTTTCTTAGCACCTAAAACCTGTTGCCATTTCCATGGCTTCTCCTAGCTCCTGGTTAAACCTCATGCCATTTTATGGCTTCCTAGCTAAGCTAGTCTTGTGATATGGTATCAGAGCAAGAGGTCCTCTCTGCTGGACCGCCTCCTCACGCTTCCGCCGCGTACTCCTCACCCTCGTTCGCTCGCGCGGCCATGGCGGCCGCGTTTTGCTGCAGTGGCGGCGTTGTGATGCCGCTGGCCGCGTCGTGCCGCAGCCGTCTCGACGCGCTGCCGTGGTGTCGGGCCGTCGTGCTGCCGTCGCAGCGTCGACGTCCCGCCGCGGCGTCGACGCCGATCTGTGACGGCGTCGTCAAGCTGCAGCCGGCCGCACAACGCCTATGGCGCCGCTAGACCGGCCGCCCGCATGCCAGCCTGTGCCCCCCCCCCTTCCTTCCCCTGTGTCCTCTACCTTTCCGCAGACGACGGCTGACTCCCGCCGGCCGTCCCACCGTCGCGGGGCCTGGCCACGTCACCGAGAGGTGCGGGCGTCGCCGCCGCCGCCGCTGTTGTCGAAGCCGCCGCTGTCGCTGCTTGCGTCGGGGCCATGCAACTGCACGCCGCCGCCCCCGTCGCTGTCGACACTGCCGCCGTCGCCGTCGCTGCCATATCGTCGCCTCACGCGCCGAGGGGTCGACCGAGCTAGTGTCGCTGTCACTGTGGCTGGAATGGGGGTGCTAGGTTAGGGGGTGTGGGTGTATGTGGGCTTGTGTCTACCAAGCCTAGGGGGTGTGTTAAAATATATATGTTAGTATATAATGGTAGGCTTGGTAGGCTTACTAAACTTTACTGTAGAGGGTACAACTCCCCTCCTTGTATCCCTCTCTCTTCTATTATGATTCTCTTTTCTCTCCTCAACTTTCCTAGCACCTAAAACCTCTCGCCATTTCCATGGCTCCTAGCTAAACCTCATGCCATTTTATGGCTTCCTAGCTAAGCTAGTCTTGTGACAGGTGGCAGTTTGAACGATACCTGTCCCATGTACCTATTATCAAGAATCACCGTAATCCCCCAGATATAGGCGCATATGTGCTTATACGGATTAGGTTAAAAAAGCAGCATGAGCTTGTAATCGAATAAAAAATATAAGCCCATGCGCTAATACGAAGGACTATATGGAAAAATGATTTGAACACACCAAAATGTAGCTGGGTTAATTTGGGTTCCAATACAACTGCCTTCAAAAGGGAAAACACAGAAAAATCGCACGAAATATCTGGCAAAGTTTTCGCCAGCACAACTATGCTGGGAAGGCAGGGTAGGGACCAATCATAGGCAAGAGTGATCGGGAAACGCAGGAATCTAGCTGGCGAGGTGCAGGGGAGGGGTGCGAGAGTGCTGCGGGAGATATGGCACAGAGTCATCGATATGGAAGTTTTCACAATTCACATGTTTTTTAATAGCAATTCAATGCGCTTGAAGTGAATAGATTTTCTAAGAAAAGGTATGCCTATAATGAAATAACGGATATAAGCGTGTTTGCACTCTATAAGCCCACTGGGATTAATAAATGGCTGCGCATATATCCGGGTGATCACGGCATATCTTATCAAGAAACACAGGGTCGGTCGCTCGCTCTGCTACTGAATCGTGCACTTCGCTGACGCCCATGCAAGTTGGTTGCTGTATACGCAGTACAAATCAACTTCAAAACATGTTGCTTGTAGAAGCACGTGAGGAGGACACGAGGCCTCCAGCACGTGTCTGCTGGCACAAGTGACTCAGGAGGAACGAGTCAATATGCTCGGCAAATTGTGCTGGACAGGGTGTTTCTGGCTTGCCCAGGTGTGGGCATCCATGGCCTATTCATTCAGATTGTGGTGATGGTTTTGCCATCACAGCATGGCTGCAGTATGTGTGTATTGTGTTGAACAGTCTGTAGTGTAACCAATATGCAATTAACAGAATATTGGTATACAGTACAAATGCATTAATCCTACACGAATCATTGCAGATTGTATACACAAACCAGTACTCCACTACACACCGAGCAAAACAATTCTTTATAATTTTATAATCATGCACCAAAATTGCACCACTGAATCTTCAGACCCCTCTTGGCCGTTAGGGTGTTACCCTTAGCGTAACACCCGAGCACGATGAGGTGGGGGCCATCGCTCGGGACCCTGTTGGGGGGGGAAGCAGCAACTGAGAAGGAAAAAAAGTTAATCTTGCTACCGGGCATGTCAAAACTCCTCAGGTGCTGCCTGTCGTCGTTGCCATCTCTTGCTGCCTTTTTTCTTTGCTGCCAACTTTTTGGGCTGCCCATTTTTGTTGCCCAGGTCTGCTCACTGCAGTTCGTCTGCAGTGAGGCAGAAACTGGAAAGTTTTGAGTCATCTCAAAACTCAGATCTGCCCACTGCTGCTCGTGTGCAGTCAGGTGGGACCTAGGCAGTTTTGAGTCGTCTCAAAACTGGAATGTGCTCACTGCACCTCGTGTGCAGTGAGCTCGGACCTAGAGCGTTTTGAGACGCCTGCAGGACGTCTCAAAACTGAGATTTGCTCACTGCACCTCGTGTGCAGTGAGGTAGGAACGAGAGAGGAACTGAACAAGAGAGAGGAAGGAACAGGCACTGCAGTGCACTGCAGGCCTCATCACAGTCACAGTCCCATCACGAACCAGATCATGAGGCGCCTCAAGAACGTGGCTTGGGAGCAAAACTGCACAGTATCGTGCCATTACCCACTCCCCCTCCTCCCCCCCCTTCCCAACACCCTCTGCTTCACCCTGCCATCTCTCCTCTGCTTCACCCCACCACATCTCCTCTGCTTCACCCCGCCATCTCTCCTCTGCTTCACCCCACCACATCTCCAGTGCTTCACCCCACCATCTCTCCTCTGCTTCACCCCACTATCTCTCCTCTGTTTCACCCCATCATCTCTCCTCTGCTGCTGCAGCGCTCCCACCAGCCATCTCCCCTTCCGGCTGGCGGCTGCTTCTACTCCAGCTGGGGTCGGCCCATCTCCCATCAACCACCCCTTCTGCTGCAGCAGGTATCCCAAGGGTAGTGCCGGTGCTCATTCCCTCCCCACGAGCGCTCCTATGAGCCATCCCTCCTCTAATGCTTCTGCCAGCCCCTATTGCTGGGGTCGGCCCAGCTCCCATCTCCCCCCCTGGGGTCAACCCATCTCCCATCTCCCATCAGGCATCCTAAGGGTAGTGCTGCTGCTCGTTCCCTGCTCCAGCCATGTCGCCTTCCAGCTGGTGGCGGCTTATCTGCTGCTTCAGCTCCACCTGGGGTCGGCCCATCTCCCAATCAGCTGGCCCATCTCCCCACCTGCTCTCCCACCAGCCAAATCCCCTTCCAGCTGGTGGCGGCTTAACTGTTGCTTCTGCTCCAACTGGGGTCGGCACATCTCTTATCAGGGCTCCCACCTCCCATCAGCTATCCCTTCCCCTGCAGCAGGTGTCCCAACGGTAGTGATGGTGCTCGTTCCCTTCCTCACCTGCTCTTCCCAAGCTGGTGCTTGTCCCTGGGTAGCCCTCAGCAAGTGCGACAGCGGCAGGTGCGGCAAGCGGCGTAAGCGCAGCGTGGTCGCCGAAGAAGCACGCAGACGCACCGGAGTCAAGTGTGAAGGACATCAAAGCAGTAGCGGCAGACGAAGGAGGAGCGAGTGTGAAGCCTAGACTAGACAAAAGAAATGGTCTTAAGCCTGACACAGCAGGGGTCTCTTTACTACACACAGGTGCTACGCATAAGCTAGAGAACACAGGGTAATAAGATCGAAGTGTCAGCATGCAGAGAATGCAAGGGAGAACTAATCTGATCCATGTCTAAGTCAAAAACAGGCACACCGTGGCGCAGCAGACTGGGCCAGTCAGGGAGGTCCGGGGCCGGGCCGAAGCGGCGACGAAAGAGGTCGTCGAGGCGGCGGAAGCAGCGGGCGGTCGGGTGCGGACGGCAGCACACAATGCCAGGAAGGGGCCCGTTTTGGAGCTGGTACAGGCAGCCCACAGCACCGAAGCCGCCGGTAGACGCCGAGCTGCGAGGACCGCCACCTCGACCACCCCCTCCAAGGGCTCCCGGCCACCTCGGCGGGAGGCGGGCCCACGGCTGCTGCTGCTGCTGTGACTGCTGCGGCTGCTGCTGCTCCTTGACGCTTGCCCCAGCCCCCTCGTCAGAACCACTGTCGCTGCCACCACCACCACGCCCTCCCTTGGAACCGCGACGGCCCCGACGCTGTCGCTGCTGCTGCGGGAATGCTGCCACCGCGGTCTCAGCGGCAGGAGCAGCGGTAGCGACCACAGCGGAAACGTCAGCGTACGTGCTCTGGGAGGGAACACAGCCCTGAAAGATAGGGACTGCCGCAACACCGCTCGACTGAGCGATAGTGCGCTGGCGAGTCTCTATCTCATAAAGGGCAGCGACAAGCGGTCAAGGTGAGGTCACCAGGGTGCTGGCTAAGAAAGTGGTTGCGGGCAGTAGCTAAGTGGTCAGGCAGGCGCATGACAATAAGGTACAGGGTAGCGCAGAACGGCGGGGGGAAGGCATTGAGCTTGGCAGTAGTGCTAGCGGCGCGGTAGCTAGTCTCTAGTGCACGGAGGTGAGTGACGAGATCAACGACAGTGGGGAAAGCAGAGAGA